GTGCACGAGTTTATGGGGAACCACTAGTGGTAAGTTAATGATAATTGGTATGCAGTTGTATAAGCATTGGCATGTCTCATTTCCCTAGAGATTATTTGGCCCCACCCCCTCAGTCATGGTCTATTGACTTTGAAACTTTTGCTTAGTATTCATGTATTAGTTTGTGATTAAGTTGGTTTATTGGGAACCACGAATGGTAGGTCAATGATATTTGGTATGCAGTTGTATTAGCATTGGCACATCTCATTACCATGGAGATTATTTGACCCTGCCCCCTCAGTTATGGTTAATTGACTTTGAAATTTTGCTTAGTTTACATGTATTAGTTTGTGTTTAGGTTTGTTTAAAGAGAACTACTTATGATAAGTCAATGGTATTTGGTATGCAGTTGTATTTGCATTGGCACATCTCATTTCCAAGGAGATTGTTTAGCCATTTACCTTCAGTCATGGTTTATTGACTTTGAATATTTGCAAAACTTACATGTTAAAGTGTTGCTATTTTAATTTCAACATTTGCATTATCGAAATTACAAAAAAGCGAGACATATCTCTGTGATAACAGTGTATATGTAAGTGAAAATAGGTTTGCAATAAAAGGACATGCAATATTTTTATTTCAAATTTCAAATTTACATTATTCTAAATGCATCATGATTGTCAGATTGTAGAAAAACACAAACCATGAATTAAAATTGATTTAAAATAATGGTTAAAAGTATAATTTTGTTACAGAATATTTATCTTATCTGAAAAAAGTCTTTACTAACATTTAACATAGTTGTTTTTAGAGCTAGTTTTGATTGGTCAGGTTTTATTGTCTGTATCTTGCTTTTGTTCTATGGATGGTTCAGTGGTTTCAATGTATTCAGAATATGATGTGTGTTATTCAAAGGGATCTTTTAATGTAATTGTGAAATGATATACATTTGATATTTGATAGTTATTGAGATCGAAAAGACCAATATTAGTGCATTAAGCTTTCAATTTTGTTTATAATTTTCAAAATGAAGTTAAAAAACATTTTAAATCAAAATCTAATTGTATTTGACACGATATGATGCATCTGAAATCGAAAAAAAATGAAAAAATGCATTCTGAATATTAAATTAAATTTAACCACTCCAAATAAAAGTTAATATTGTACGGTATATTGAATTGAATTTAAGCACAAGTTGAAAAAAATCCAAAAAGTATATACGTACATCGGCTTTTTGTCTGGTTCTGAAAAGCCAAGACGGCAACGAAGGAAGACCTGCAGTAAAAATAATATTTAGTAAGTCTAATGTGAATGATCTGGGTACTTCACATATTTTATATTGTTTTGACCAAACAAAAAAAAAAGATTATTATCTATAATTTCCAATACTTTCATTCAGTCACCTGAAACTATCATCATCCAGTAATCTTTATAATTCACACATGAAATATATCAAACCTTGGGATAATTTTCAACCTTGGACCTTCGATACTAGGCTGTCATCTATATTTTGTCTACATTCATTAGATGAAACATTCATATGGGTGTTATCTTAAAATTAAACTTGTGTGTATGATTCTCATTGTAAATAGTTCCTTAAACCATTTAACATTGTGAATGTTGAAAATGTTGCATAACCGTTCTTAAAAAATCCCCCAGGTTTAAAATTCAAAATTTGTAGAAATGTAGATTCTACCTTTGAATCGAATGTGAGAAGACATTTCTCCACTTTAAACAGTTAATTTTTTATTTAAAAAGTGAGGCTTGAAATTTGTTTTGTTTTCAACATTTTCTCCAATTGCCAAGTTAAAGGTTTAAATCAATGTTAGTACGACTGAAAGGAAGAGGTACTGTATTTAACTATGCTTCCAAATTTAAGAAATGGTCGATGATTTATTTTAAACAATTCGATTTTGCTCTGCATTTTTTTGTCTAGTCTTGAAAATTAAAGAAACATATAGAAAGACTGTCTACAAAGTTAATTGATTTTTAATTTTTTATTTCATACTATCACCGACATGTTACTGACTAAATGTATCATACAGAAGCCTTTCACTACAGATACTGTGTTTTTCAGTTGTGATGGAAGTGGAGTCCAAACAGGCTGAAATTAAGGGCAAGGGGAGGTAATACCCCTGTTTTACTCCTCGTACTGGAAGTTCCTTTAGTGTAGGCAATTTTTTTAATTATGTCTATTATATGTGTATAAGTATTTATATATCAGATGTCTGATAACTAGTCTATTGCTATTATATAGAGCTTTGTAAATAAACATTACTGTAAGGAGAGTTCTAGATAATAGTTTTAAAGGGTGGAAGAAATTGTGGGTTACGTTACCAACTTTTTGGAAATTTTCAGAATATTGGATATGTTTTAACACACTTCTGGTACTTAATACATTATGTTATAATAATCCAGTAAATCATCATGATCGGGGAAAAACAAATTATTGTTAGAAAAAAAATAGAAAATTTTGTGACAAACTGTATATTTTTATTTTATATATTGTGAATGAAGCAGACATTTCAGTTATTCAAGTGGACAGTGGATTTTTAAAGCATAAAAACCAATGTTGAAAAACACTTAACAGCAGTAAGGAATCAATAGCAGTTCCAAGGAAGATGATTAAATAGATCTTGAACCAAGTCGGAGGCTGTACCATGAATGAAATCAGGCAAGTTTATTTAAGCCATACAATTTTTATAGATTCTATAGAAATGAACATCAGTACATAAAAGTACACAAGACAACAAACAATATGATTATTTTTATCTTTCTCATTCATAACACCAATAGCGAGTTCATTTATCATTTTCATATATTTTATAATAAGTTACGAGGTATATGAAAACAATTATAATATCAAATTATTTTGTCCAGGAACAGTTATCGTCCTTTTGATTTTCGTTGTCTACAAATACAGTCTAGTGTGGACAGAGTGTTACTTGCAATTTTTTTTAATACCCTTTCCAAATTTATTTCTTCCATGTTTTATGCCTCAAATAGCAAGTAGGGGGATGAAATTACACTAAAAACATTTGGGTCATGAATTTTAAAATAGTGATTTGGTCCAGCTAAAAAAGCTTAAAAATTAGTATTTCGGAAGCTGTCAAAAGAATTCAAGACCCCTTAACATAAATTGTACATATATTGAGTTAGAGCTGATGAAGTTTTCTATAATTTTGATATAATTTGTCCCAAAAGTAGTACACCACACTAAAAATGTTATTGAGAAAGCACAGGTGGGATTTTTTTAGTAATCATTTATTGTCCAAAAGAAATGCACTACGAAATAACTGTGTTCTCGGGCCATTTTATCTTTACGGGGAGACAAGTACAACAAACAAAACAATAATGTTTCATTCAATGGGAGATTACTTGGATAATTTTTGTGCAGTTGGAAATCAAACCTTTTTCCAGCTCTTAAATTCCTACACAGACAGGACTGATGCTATATTATTGGGTAGTAAGAAACGAAAAAACTTTTATAAAGTTTAAGGATGATAGTTTAGTTAAATTGGAAAAATATATAATTTGTGTCAATTTTAATTAGGGCCCCGCCAAATGGCGGATGCCCTATAGTGATCAGTCTGTCCGTCCTTCTGTTCGTCAGTCCATCCGTAACAAATTGTGTTAGCTCTATATCTAGAGAACCGTTATGATTTCAAAGTTTATACTTGACATGTATATTAACAAACACCAGAGGGTGTGTCATAATGTATGTACAACTTCCAAGGTCAAAGGTCAAGGTCAAGGTAAAAAACTATGGTTTTAGTTGACAACCCCATGTCCTATGGTAAAGATCGTGTCCACTCTATATCTTGAGAACCGTTATGATTTCAAAATTTATACTTGACATTTTTATAAACCAACACCAGAGGGTGTCACGTGTGTCATAATTTATGTACAACTTCCTAGGTCAAAGGTCAAAGTCAAAAACTTTGGTTTCAGTTGACAACCCCATATCCAATGATAAAGATACAAATTTTTTACCACACATTATTCACAGCAGGGCCCACAGATATGGCTCCCATCTCAATGATATCTAGTTCCTTTTAGGTTATTTCTGGGACATGTTTCATGGTATTTGGAGTAAGGCTTGGTGGCCTAGTCTACTACAGCTTAGATATAAGTAGGTTTATAATTCTGTTTTTGAATCAAAAGATATGTTCATTATACTATAAAAAAAATATAGGGAAAATAATGTGCCCTGAGGATTGAAAAATATGTAATCAGTATCGTTATAGGTTACAATAAACCTTTATAAATATAAGGAGATGTCGTATGATTGCCAATGAGACAACTATCCACCAAAGTTTAAATGAAGTGGATGACATAAATTATAGACAACCAAACAGCTTCAACAATGAGAAAAACCCATACCGTATAGTCCACTGTAAAAGGCCCCGACATGAAAAAATGGGAAACAATTCAATAGAATTATGACATACATGAACCAAATACAACCACTGAACTACAGGCTCCTGACTGGGGACAGGCGCATAAAGAATGTGGCGATGTTAAACATGTTTGTGAGCGCTCAACCCTGCCCTAACCTGGGACAGTGGTGTTCAGCACAACATAAGATCATTGGTTTACAATGTTATATTCTCACGGCTATAATGCCATATTGCTGTGAAAATATAACAGATCAATTGAAGCACCGATAGTTTTCTTAAACAAGTATATGTTATTAATATACTGTTTTGTTAAAGAAATCTTTCGTGCTAGGATTGATATGTAAAAGGAATAAATCAAACAAGTATATTTTTATGCCTTTGCCGTATTGGAGGGGGCATTAAGTGTAACCCTTGTCCGTCTGTCTGTCCCGTCCATCTCAAAAATTGGTTTCCATTCTCTAACTTTAGTTTGCCTCAACCAAATGTTATGAACTTATACACAATGCTTATGATCACAAAACGATCTATGTGGAAGTTGACTCATGCATATTTACAAGCGGGGGCATCTGTGGCCCATAGACACATTCTCCATTTATTTTATTATTTGTTTATAGGCTGATCTAATGACAATGATTTCATGGTGTTGGGAGTAAGAATTGGAGATCTGATACTGCTAACATGTTGGTAGGTATACACACTTTTTTTAATCTATTAGTGTTTGATATCAATTTAATAATGGTTCAGGTATCAGAAAAGATTGAATTACATGGAGATATTCAGCTCCAGAGGAGAGAGGGTATATGATTGTCCAAAATGGTAAAAATACTGCCAAGCTTAGAAAAGAGAAATTGTTTTTGACTTTTTTTTTCTATTTGTCAAGTTTTAAACTGAATACCCACTAGATTTCGTGAGTAATAGTGAACCACAAATTTTAAATGTTCAACAACGAAGTACCAATTTTCTATCAATCGACTTTCAATCAAATATCCACAGAATCCAATTTTTCCTCAATCCCCATGATTGTTGAATATTAAATGAATCCACAGAAATTCGATTTTCCCTCAATGCCCATTAAAATATCTGAATCCACAGTAGATTATTTTGAGGAGTTTAAATAACTGATTCAACTTTGTATTACAGGTTAGCATCACAGCTTGTCCATAGGGATACTGGCTGGGGTAGCATTTGGATCTGTTTCAAGGTGAGAATATATTTATTCATCCACATACAAATTTAATCAATTGATGAAATCTTGTGGACAGTTTAACTTTCTATAAATCTTTATTGTTTGCAATTTATATCGTCTTGATATTTTCTACTGTTACCTTAATAGATGTAAACAGATATTTTTATAGTTGAGAAGGTTTATAGTCCTTTTTAACTACTTTCACTTATTCCATCTTTAAACTTTTGCCAAATGACCATGTACTGAATCATAAAGAGAATCATTGTTTTTATGATAATAAAGAATTTTGTTTACTTGTAAAGGGGAGATACCCTCACATTCATTTGCAAGTGCTGTTACAAAGATAAGATGTCTTAATTATATTAAACTTTGCTTCTTATTCAGTTTTGTATTTCTTTCAATACAAATTTCCAAAGAATTCATTTCTTCAGTCAATATATGGAGAAAACAAAGTAATTGTCATAAAACTTGAACTAAACAATGAAAGTTTATCAAAATAGCCTGAATTATTTTACCATGTATGTACATTTTTCAAATTTTCAGCTTAATAACTTCTGCAATTGTCTGAAACTCAATGAATGATTAATGCGATACCGGTAATAGTAATTTTAACACCTTGAAAATCAAAATTGGTATATTAAGATTGCTTTCCATTTTATAACAAATTTAGCTGCACGATTTCTATTGCAATATTTTTTGGTAAATCAATAAATTTGAATAGAAAACAAGTATTTTTACATACAACAATATCTATCTATTTAAAAGAAAAATTGCCACTCAAATATTTAAACATTACCTAATTCATATATTTTAACATTACTTAATAACTTTGAATTGTCAACAAATGAAATATTATTTTATTCCTTTTACAGGTGCGTTCCTGCTGCTGCCTTGTGTGTTCAATCCTGTGGACAATGATAATCATGCAAACCACATATATGTTGCATTTTTGTTTATTAAAATCCTTAAGTGATTTTTTAATGCTATTATTTATTTTCCATTTACTGTAAACTCACAAATTTTTGTTTTTTAATGCTGTTATTTATTTTCCAATTATTGAAAATTCACAGATTTTTGATATATTTTTTTTACTGAAAATTGCTACACCGAGATAGATTTTGCAAAAATAAAATTATATTTTAAATTTTGATAGCATTATTTATTTGCAACATGTCCTTAATGACAATAATTAATTTAAATAAATGCTTGCAAATTTTTTTTGAATTTACAGTATAAATATGTTTTCATTATTTATATATGCATGATATTATTATACATTGTATTTTGCTTTATAATAAACAAAATTGTATAATAGTTGTTATTTGAGAAGTACCAGTGTACTGTTTTACAAAGCATCCATTAGACTTTCATCAGTTTACAGACGTCATTATTGTGAACCAAATGATACTTTCCACAGATTCACTTGAAAGTTACCTGTCGATTTAAACTTTTGTAAGTTCTTTTGTCCCATCTGATAAATATAATAGCTATTGTTCTCTGTGGAGTTATTTCACTGGGACCTTTAAATTTCTTCTAAGAGAAATCTATCACTCATTGATTAATTTACCTGAACAAAAAATCAAACTTTCAATGGTGAAAATACATGTACCAATACTAAATAAGGACTCACAAAAACGCATGTGATGTTGTATTTATTCAATATCAATAATACATTTTCAATTTGTTCAATATAATTAACACTTATTCAAAATTTAAAAGTTGATTTATGACAAAATTTTCAACATTGTTCCTATTAAAATTTGTCTTTTTGTGTGTTTGACAAATAAGAACTAGAAAATGACGATGTTTAGATCAAGGCCTTCTTAAATGTATTCTATAACTAAATAAACAGCTGCGCCACGAGCGCATGATATGCTCGTCATCTTGTGTGTGAGGTTTTATGCAATAATCATAAATAGTTTCTGAGATACGGCGCGACATGTGAAAACTCCCCTTTTTTTTTAATAAAAAAATCAATAACTCTAAAATAAAATTTTGAATCATCACCAAAAAGTGTATACAGATCTTTAGATTAATATAATTAAGAAGTGTGTAAAGTTTTAAGCAATAATCGTAAATCGTTTTTGAGATACGGCGCGACATGTGAAAAATACATACCCCTGTTTTAGTTACACAAAGTTCCGTATCTCAAAAAATTTTAATCTTATTTTCATCAAAAAGTATACAGATCGTTTGACCATCATAAGAAACAACTATATTAAGTTTCATGAAATTTGGATAAGTTGTTCTCAAGTTGAGGTGGGACATGTGGACGCCGGACATTTGTATACCATAATACATCCCGTCAAAATTTTGACGGGCGTATAACAAACACACAAAAATTGCAAATTTCAATAGGAACAATGATAAAATTTTTGTCATATGATTAAATCAGTGTTATATTAAACAGATTGAAAATATATTATTTATATTGAAGAATAATACAACATCACATGCAGTTCTGTGAGTAATAATACATGTATTTTCATCAATTTAGAAGATCACTTTTTAACTCGGGTAAATTAATCAATGAGTGATAGATTTCTCTTAGAAGAAATTTAAAGGTCCCAGTGAATAAACTGCACAGAGAACAATAGCTATTGTTTTTATTAGATGGGACAAAAGAACTTACAAAAGTTTAAATCGACAGGTAACTTTCGAGTGAATCTGCGGAAAAGTATCCTTTGGTACGCAATAAAAGTTTTGCATGTTGGCACAGTGAAACACAGTGTGTCTGTTGAAGATGATGGTGTTTGATATGGATAGGTTTGTTTAAAAATAATATGTTCCACAGGGCGCAGCTTGATACGACCTGAACACTTAGGGCACTAGTATGATACAGCTCAGAATTTTGATTGTGATGAAATATTTGACACAGCATACATAGGTTTCTGACAAAAAAATTAGAATGAATGTGGTCCAAGAACTTAAAAATTTGAAATTGGACATTTACTTATTATGGTCCAATATCCAAAATATAAATGCATGGTTAGACTCAGCATATCAAAGAATTCAATTATTGATGAAATCAAACAAAGCTTAATTTTGGACCCCTTGGACCTCAATGTGAACCAATTTGATAGTGAGCCCAAAATCCAAAATCTTAAGACATGGTTAGATTCAGCATTATAAAGACCCCAAGAATTCAAGACTTGGAATTAAACCCGGGGTCCCCATTCAAATTGGTCAAGAAATACTGTATAAATTCAGAAATTATTGCAATTTTTTTAAAATGGACAAAAAGCAAGATTAACTATTGTTATTTCACGAAAATCTGCATACATATCTTTGTATCAGATATAAGAATACAAGTTCTTATTATTGTGATACTCAATCAGTTGGATTATTTGCATAAATAAAAAGTTCGCAATTATTTCTGAATTGACAGTAATTAAGCAATTTATACAAAGTATTAGAAAAGTATTATTTTTGGTCCTTATTCATAAACGGTCAGGGCCATAATCCCCAAAATTAATCCCAACTTTTCAGTTTTGGTATGGAACCTAGTGGTATAATTTCATAGACTTATACTTGGGGAGCTACCATTTGATTTTTATGGGGGGCTAGGATCGAAAATTTTGTCCTGCCTTTTTATTTTTCCCTCTATTCGGTCCTGCCTTTTTTTTAGTTTATCTTGACTTTTTTATTAAACTAAATTGTCATCCTGCCTTTTTTTTTGCAAATAATCTTATACTGCCTTTTTTTTTAACTCAAAACTCCTGTCCAGCCTATTTTTTTCAAATTTCATCCTAGCCCCCCCCCCCCCCCCCATAAAAATCAAATGGTAGCTCCCTTAAGTTATTGTCTTGATACCAGAAAATCCTTGTTTTTTGCCCCTTAATTCCTTTATTCCGATGTTGTGTTTTGTGTACTATTGTTTGTCTGTTGGTCTTTTTCTTTTTTAGCCATGGCGTTGTCAGTTTATGAGTTTGAATGTCACTCTGGTATCTTTCGCCTCTCTTTTTCAACGGTTTGGGCCATTACCCTCAAAATCAATCCCAACCTTCCTTTTGAGGTATAGAACCATGTGGTACAATTTCATAGAGCGTCCTATTGTGTACGTACTAACGTTTGAACAGTTCTATATTTGAAGATTATTTTAGGTCAAAAGTTACCAAAGCTATAGTTCGGCAAGGTCACATTTTAACGTGGCCTACTCTTCACCTTCCTCAAATATCATTTAAACCTCGCTTTGAATTTATATGTTGTGCTGGATGTATAGATACGAGACACGTCCTATCGGAATGGAAACGTAAAATCCAATGCCTCATGCAGGCAAATGCCACGCACTGCACGTTAAAGAATCCTTGTAATATCTCCTTAAGATGTCTGTAATTATTGGTGGCCTGTTGTAAGGTAAAATTTCTGCCCTATCTCACACATCCTCTTTCAAAAGAGGCAGTTTATATTTGTGCTAACAAGCCTTGAAGAATTGACGTATTTTGTTTTCGTCCTGAGTATGCAAGAAATACTGCCACTATGTATTCAACATGAACAAGAAACATTTGTTCTTTTATGCATATAGATGTACTGTGATCCACAAAATTTGAAAAGTAAAATAACAAAAATACTGCACTCCAAGGAAAATTCAAAACGGAAAGTCCCTTAATATATATCAAATGGCAAAAATCACAAGCTCAAACAATACAAGTATATTACGGGAAATATACATGGGATCCCTTTCATTTAAATAAAAGTAAAATAACCATGACAATAACTTAAAAATATTTTCAGTGAATCAGTTTAAAGAGGGTCGTAATGGTGGTACCTTCATGACGAATATCGATAAAAAATCTAGCCAAATGACGTTAACGATAGTTTTAAGTGCATGATGATAAAATGTACTGTACACTTTCTTTATGACGATAAAGCAATATACTGATATTGAATAATCATGTTAAATTCTTTCCAAAAAAAATGGTAACGATAAATTATTTGAGACCTCTGATGAATCACGATAAAATTTTAACCAATTTGATGTTAACGGTAGCCGAATATGACCGTTTGACGCCTGACGGTAAAGGGCATCCCTACCCTCTTTAAATAAGGGGAAAATAAACATGGGCAATAGCGAAATGAATATTAGTTCTAGCTGCTACTACTACTACTATAACAAAGAGAGTGGATTAGGTGGCTGCCTTGATAAATCATCTGGGAAAGATTTAATTTTTTTTAAACTGTGTCAAATATCTATGATATAAGTAAAGAAAATGCAAATTTAAAGTCACCTAAAGGAAATTTGGAAATTGAATCAAACAAATATTAAATAGGATTTGAAATTTTATGTTAGTTATATTTTTTGTATCCAAGTTACACATACTAAATTGAAAATAAGTTTTATAAGTATCAACAAAATCAATAATGGCAAAGTGAAATATCATCATGATCATAGTTTTGAATTTTTGAGAATCAAAGATTTATAGAAATGTTTTTAATTAAAAAGGATCAATAAAGCAGGTATTGAGTACAGGGTTGAAGCATTTATTTTATACCTCCGAGTAAAACTGGAACCTGATAGAATGCATAGCAACGTGTAATAACATTGAATATATGGATTCATATGTTCAACTATACCACTGGATGTACCAGTAGAATAAAAATTTCTGGACTGGTAATCACAATTTGTATAAAGTATAAAGTATATGAAATTAAAGAACACTGTGGTAGTATATATATAGCCGGGCCATGCTTTCAATGGGGATGATGCGGCTTTATAGCTTGGCATATATACTTATTGACGTCATAATCACCATGTAAAACGCCATAAGTGAGTGTTTACTGTATACGATCGAAGTAAAAGGCAGAATTTTCTTGTTTCAGGGGGGATCAAATGTTCATGGGATTCAAAATACCTTATATGACAGATATTTAATTGACAATTTTGTTCAAATAAATGATGCAGTAATTGTAGACCAATGGTTTTTGTGTAATCATAATTTGTTCTTGGTCCCCTTATACTAGCAGGACTCAACTTAACTTATTTATACTGGACCCTTAATTATCTGGACCATACTAACTAAGTCTGAACTAATAATCTGCCAGTCTGTTATAGTCTTAACCCCATTCTCTGTCTGTACTTAACTAGTTTTTAATGTCTGAACCATATTCGACCAACGGTTGGCCTGTACTCAACCAGTTTTATATTTAATTTTTTTTCTATCTTGATTTTGTATAGTCTGTTATTATTATAAACAATGAAATTATCTGAAATTTAAAAATTTGATTTTAAAAAAGACCCCATTGCAATAATTAACGATGTCATTAACCAATGGCTAATACTTAAATCCAACCAAAAAGTACTGGCTAAATTTATCCAGCAGATGGAACGTTTTATGCACTGAATAATGTTTGAGCAATAGAAATAATCCATTGGTTTAAAGTTAACCAGTGGATAAGCACTAGTGCAAATATTATATATATAACCACCGGCACCGGTTTTAAACATTATCCAACGATTTGAGCAACCCAATCCAGATCAACAAAAAATGTTGATATTTCTCATATCTAACAATATTTTTCGGTGAAATTAATAAACCTCTAAGAAAAATAATTGTATAAATGGTATTGTATGTAAATACTAACTCAATAATAATAATAATTATTATAATATCTTTATTTAAAGAGAGTAACTCATTTGAATTAAACCCAATCATAAGGTAATTCAAGACCATATCAAGACCACTTTCGGCTATTTTTTTGCCATACATTTTGTCCGTTTCGAGTAGCATTTTAATTTTTTGCACTTAAATCAAAACGTCATTTGCTTTCTCTTGCTTTAGTGAACGTCCTTTGAGCGGGCCGCCATTTTAGAAATTAGCAACCTTTACGACGGACTCGAAACGGCGACGTCATAATACGGTCACGACGCTATAGCGGCGCCGTGATCGATGCGTATAAACAATAGTGTGATTTCCCTTTATGATTATATCTTAGAAATCGGTGAAGTGTGCCTGAATATCTAAATAACATCTAAAAAAATAGGCTGAATTTGTGCTATTTTGCTCGTTGTTAACAAGTGATATACATTAAAAGGACCCCATTGGAAATAAGCGGAAATGCTTTTATTGGCAATCCTTGGAAAGCTATCAACTTATAAGTGTATATTAAAGGCTTAATCGCATAATTTTAGCTAATATTTCTTATGTTTCATATTTTTAACCACCCTTTTAAGTATTTGATATCATTCTTTACCTATATACCCTTGTCCATGGAAAGTAATTGTACGGCGTTGAATCAGAGTATAACCGAAATAATTTACCGACGACTTGGAAAAAAATTAGAAGAATTGAATCGCCGGACATACATTGTTGTAAATACAGCGCGAACACAACTCGGGAACGTAAAGTATTTCATGTTTTATAACGTAAAGACTTTGTGACGTTACACTTGTATACTTGGGCATTCTATAGACAGATTACAATTTATTCACGTATTCTCGACATACATACAAAAAAGATTCAGGCCTACATTGATTTTTCTTTTAAAAGTTTTGAATGCACTTTTGAAATATGAAAAGCAAATAATCATTCGTGATTTATTCACCATGTAAAATAGTTTATTTTCCTTAAGTGATTAAGTGAAGTCAAATTATTTGAAAATCCAAAACCGAATACAAAAGTTGAACAGCTGATAGAACAGACTCAATCTTAGCGTTCAAAAGTTTTATTTTGCTTTCGATCATTTAACGAAATATAAATTACTATTTATGTAATTCCTTATGTACTATCGATGATAAGTAGCAATACGCAGGTTTTTGTAGGACGAAACGAGTGTGGCATATACGGAGAACGGCTTAAATAATTTTCATGTTACGTAGAAATATAAGATTCTTAGACTGAATACTGTGGTGAAAATCATTTGAAAAAGCAGTAAACGATGAAAAATCTATTCCAATGAAATATGTCTGCCGATCGGCGACAAAGATATGAAGATTGCCACTACGAGGAGCATGGTTTGGTTAAGATAATACAGTTTTCACACAATTTATCCCTCCTTCCTCCTAAAACAAAACAGAACACACAAAAAATTAGACAAGAAAATAAATTCTGATTTCCAAGGAATATTTTGGTTAAATGCCAGATTTATAGCCCTATAAAAATTTGTTAACCAAGACATCTATAAGAATGTACAAAGTGTCAGATATTAAAAAAAAATAAGACGAGAAAATAAATTCTGATTTCCAAGGAATATTGTGGTTAAATGCCAGATTTATAACCATAGAAAAAATGTGTAAATATACGAATGTGCAACGTGTCAGATATATATAAAAAAAAAATAATCAGAAATCTGGCAGCATGTAGTCATCAAACGTTTATAAGAATTGAGACCAATCTTTTTAGTATCACAATTAGCTATTAGAATCTCAATGTCTCCAAAATACAATGCAGTGTTTTCGTTCACATACAAGGTTATTTGCTCAAGGTTGTTGCACTGAGACAAGACCTTTTGTAGATCATCGATTGTGATAAAATAGTTTAATGAAAAGTGAAGTTGCTTTATGTTGTGTCCATAATTGGCTATGGATTCTATGGTTCTGGTTGTGAAATTTGTTTCCTCTGTATCTTGAATACCTGAACATAAAAGTAACTGTAAGTTAGTACAGTTTGAGAAAAGTCGTACCACAGCATCGTCTGTATCACAAGCAGCTGTCCATCCGGCTATTCGTAATTCATTTAGATCTGGACATAACTGTGAAATTTCTATTAGAGATTTAGCAGTCAAATATTTGCAATATCGAAAATGTTATACTTGTATATTATTTATTTATATATACTAGCATTTTTATTCACCTCATATTTATATCAACCATGTTTTTTTATGAAGTTTAGGTTTGAGAGTTCCTGGTGAACGTTATTACACAAAAGCGCTTCGGACGCACGGAATTTATGGTATTATTTTCATGTACTAGCATTGGTCGATACCACTGATGGAGGAATGATAGTCCTCGAGGGTATCAGACACTATCTCAGTAGTCTTTGCTTCGGGTACTGTCATGATTTACAACATACTTTTCTTAAATTGAAAAAAAAACAAAGGCTTCCAACTCCCTCAGGCAAAGTTGACTCTACCGAATTTGGCTATTCTCTTTAGCTTCCTTTGGTCATGTCGTTCCTCGCGTATTCAGGTTTTTATACATACTTGACTTTTGTAAAAAAAAAATCGCACCTAAAAATAGTTGACGTCCTTATTAACTGAAATAAAATTCCATTAAAAAAGATTTTTAATTAATAATTTTGGAGACGGATTGCAAATATTACTGTATACCATTTTTTAACCTTTGTCTACCCAGAATTACACTCGACTTCTGGTTTGTTGTAGCAACTTGTCATAATAAGTCTTAACATTTTGATAACACATTATTGCTCTCGGTCATTTAATTATATCAATACTTGCGAAATGTTTTTTAAATTCTTTGTTGACTCTTGAATACTGCTAAAAAATGTCAATACGTTAACAATTAGACCGTTCTGTATTGCATAAAAACGAGTTGAATGTAGATGGGTCTCTTATGAACTTGAACATGTAAGTATTGAGTTAAAATAAATAAAAGAGATTTAAAACATTTAGTTGCAATTTAAGGTGAAGTAACCATTATTGGGCAGATTTTTGAGTTTTTAAGAAATTTTGTTTGCATTTAGTTTAAGAACTCGTTGAAGTTCATTTGAATATCGGAATATCGGGAAAAAAAATAATCAAGACTGAATAATACCAGGGATATGTTCAATTAAAAAATTGTGAACAGATGTATGATAATATAGAATGTGTGTAAACAATCGGCGAACAAAACATTTTTGTCTTTTTAAAATGTCATTTTGTTTTAAAACCTGTCAAAATATTTTTTTAATAAAAAAATATGGAATTGCCTTAAAAATGACAATTTTCATTTTTTATATCAATGTATATTGGGTCACCGGATTACGTTTTTCAGTAGAAAAAAAAATATGTCTCGATTTGCAGAGTGACACGGACAAAAAAGCGTACCGTCGGCAAGCTGAAAGTTCATAGTTTTTTTTTAATGTTTTTGTAAGCAACAACGAGTCAGGTGATCCCCTTATATTTACTTATCATTAAGCACTAAACTAATTTTCGTCAGGTTTTACGTGCGTTCTATACATTTATAGACCTGTTTATCAAATTTTTCATTGCTATTGCACATAATCTATGAAACCAGGCTATACAGGCTGAGAAGTAAACAGTCCATATCACATTTTGATAGAGTTCTGGTCTAAAACAAAATTAGCACATAGAAAGAAAACAAAAGGCTCCTAAGAGCCATAATCGCTCACCTGTCATAATTTTATCTTGTCAAGCTAATCATTTTTGCTATATAAAAATAAGGAGATGTGGTATAATTGCCAACGAGACAACTATCCACCAAAGTTCAAATGAAATGAACGTAAGTAATTATAGGCAACCGTACGGCCTTCAACAATGAGAAAAACCAGCACCGTATAGTCAGCTATAAAAGGCCCCGACATAAAAAAAAATGTGAAACAATTCAATAGAGAAAACTAACGGCCTAATGTATAACAAAACAATTTACGAAAAACAAATATGACAAACATGAATCAACGACAACCAATGAACTACGGGCTCCTGCCCAAGGACAGGCACATAAAGAATTTGGCAGGGTTATAAACATGTACAGTTTTTACATATATTTTACAGTTTTCAAGATAATAAGCACAAAAATAAACGCGAAGATAAGTCAACAATTGTCGTTTCAGTCCAAACACTCCTATAAGGACTCTTCCGATCGTTTCAATCGTTGCATTTTTGTAGATAATAAACAAAAACAGAAAAATCAGTATAACTCCTATAATATATCCAGTATATCTAATCATTTTTTTTTCTTTTTATAGTTTCGGTGTTGTTCACTTCTATGTCATTTGGTCTCTGGTGGAGAGTTATCTCATTAGCAATAATACCACATCTTCTTATTTTCATAAAAACAATAAAATAAGTCAAACATCGTCATTTAAGGACTTGATTTGCAGGAACAAAAACACAAATTTTATACTTAAGACCCTACAGATCATCAAGTTTAACTATTTTTCTGAAATTGGAGTTAGAAGAGGATTCATAGGAAAATATTTTTTAAAAGTTTACGACGTCAACGGACGACAACCAATGGCGTCAAGTGAAGACAAACCATAGGGCCAGGTAAGCTAAAAAGGACAGCAAAATCTAAAAATGTATGTCATATAAAATCTGTAAAAGGCTCGCTATTTAAAATTACTACAGTGAGTGCGATATATATTGTGATTTCTTTGAGATTTATTTTCATTTTAAAAATTTGAGTCACTGTCTGTTATTAAGGTCAAGTTTTATTTCAGATATATTTAAATTATGGGATGTGGGCAAAGTTCAGTTACAGAAACAAGAGTAAAGTCTCCAAATAGGCAGGTTTTGAAACATGATCTAAATTACAATCAGAAGGAGCCTAGAACGACGGCTTCTATTCCTCCAGGACAGGAAAATCAACCGGCTGAATATGAACAAGGAAGTAAGGTTGGGAGATTACATAAATACAGTGATAAAGAATACACAGAAGATATCTTTAAAGATGCTAAAGGAATTGAAAATGATTTAAATCAGGACGAAGATATAACTATGTATCAAATTCAGTATTTAGAGTTGCTGGCTAGATTTTTCCAGTTATATGAAAAATGCTGTGGCAATATTCCTAGACATCCTTCGATACCAAGTGGTGATCCAAACACAGCCAATTTTCCATTACCAGATTCAGTTGGTTTATTTCGGGTTGATTTGCATGACGATACTAGTACCTTTGATTTTCACATTGATGGCGACGCTGCTTGGGAGGTTATATCACAAGACATTATTAAAGAAGATGCAACAACGCCAGAACAAGATTCTGTATATGAGAAAAGAGAGAAAAGAACAGATTTGAACGATGGTGAACGAATGAAGAAAAGAAGAATGGAATTAGCTAGTTATTTCATAAAAGAACGTGCCGACGGGCTTACTACTTATTGTGACAAATACCTTGGATTTGCCGACAATCTTGAGGAAGGCTGGACAAAATTCCAGGAGCTTTTGTAAAAAGTAACTGCGCATAAATGTTACAAGTTAATTTTGCATCTACGACAAATCTTTCAACATTTCTTTTTTACAAGTTGTTTTAATAAAAATGTGTAAAACTACACTTTCGATATATTTTTATGTTAACGATTATGTTAACGATTTGGTTTTGTCCAGATGAATAAAATTGTAGTAGATCAGTGAGGGTCTGGGTGGTGTTTCTTTTATTTCTGTATTCTTCAATTTTTTTGGGACATTTTTCTTTTCTTTGAAAATATCACTTATTCTATAAAATTATCACGAAAATTATTTTATTAATAATAAAGGGGCATTAGCTGTCAAATTCATGTTCACCGGTTTGACTCAAATTCTCATATTTGATTTATAACATACTAAAGGTATATCCAAATTACAAAAAGTTTAAAATTAACAATTACCAATGCATGGACTAGATAATATGTATCAGCATTTCGTGTGTATTTTAGTCTATATGTCATCTAATGAACCATCGAGATGATCTCCAAAGACTGCCGAAGGTCATAAAACCAGATATAAACATAAATATAAATATAGATAGATAGATAGCGACCACGTGCAATGGATTTTTCTAGGTCTGTTTGATTTCATATTATAGGGTTAAAAAAGAATGTTTATCATCGTTTTCACCTGTATAAGAATAACTTTTTATGGATCGAATCAGGCAACCAAATGGTTCATCCTTTTTTCACTTTCAATGTTGACATTCTTTACCTTTTAATAGCTGAACACATTTAGTACATGTGTTACCAATCTTCAGCTAAGGGGTTAAAATGAAGGTCTCAATGAGGTTAATTATTGACTTGCAAGTCAATAATACATCAGCGATGTTTTTAAGCTTTTTTGACAAATTTGGGCCAAACCGACTGCTTAAAACGAAATATTATTTCAAAAATTACGCTTTAAATAATACTTGAAACAAAAAGAATTGTACGTATTTTAATTTTTTGTCTAAATCGTAGCTAATGTCCCTTCAGTAAGTTTATCTGTAAATTATAGGATTTCTTTTTTCTGTACATGATCGATTCATTTCTGTAATCCGTATTTTATTACCTACTTCTTTTATTTTCCGCAGCTATTCTTTATACTTTTGCAAATGAAATGAAATGCCAATTGGTGCAAAAGCAAAGCACCGATTAGTAATAGAATGCCGTAGACGATTTTCTTGCCAATACAAATACATACAGAAAAAGAGCAATCTTAAAGCAGTACATAATCGATTTCAAAAGAACAAAATGGTGGTTTGTGTGCATATATATCTTTTTAGCCAAAAACAGATTTTTTTTTTTAATTTCTCCGCTAAATAATGGCCGTAATGTATTCATAATGTAAAATTCTATTGCAGCATTTCCCGTGTTACATCAAACGGTCAGTATACTATTTATTCACATAAATTGGATTTTGATGGTGGAATATGAACATTCTTTGTTTGCAACAAATGTTGCGTACTTAAATATACAGCTTGACCGTCTTCTTAGTAAATGCTTCAACTTAATTCACGTACGTAAATGATTTAGCATAAATGAATAATCTTTATTTACTGTCGGCATAGTAAACAATGAAGGACATAATATAAGCTCTATTGTGGTTTTAACCGACATACAAGGCATAATGATACAATAAAAAAAAAAGCATTCAATAAGTTACATAAAACACAGAATGAAGCACTATACTTAAGTATAGTAGTAGTCACTAAGCAGATTTATAAGCATGACAAGCTAGACATATTCCATGATAGCTGGGTTTTTTCATTTGTATTTTCTATATTGTAAATGTTTAATACACTTATCACTGTACTGATTTTGTCCTAATGGGTCCTCTATTGAAAATAAAATTTATTATCATCATCGTGATTTTAAAGCTAAAAGCAAATAAAAAATGTAACGTAAGCATGATTAGAAAGCTAGTAAAATGCATAGCATAAAAGATTAAAGATATGATATAATCTAAATGATAAAAAAATAACAAAATATATTAATAATGTGCACTTAGATCTTTGAATATTGTTTTTATTGGTATTAATATTGATTTTGTTATCGGTAAATTAAAATCAAACTAAATATTTTTTTTATATATATATGTGCACATTCATGGCTCTACAATCTGTCGATACCTGTATCTTGGCATTGCACAAGGTCATGTTTTTCTCTAACTGTTAATGACGTCTTTACACTAAATCCATTGCATGTTGGATGTGTACTGATTGATATTTTAGTCTTAGATGCATGATTTTTTTTTAATTAGTTGTTATTGGCTTTGAACTAGCTGTCAGTAACTGCAAGTACTCTCAGATCTGTACTAGTGTCTTTTTGTTGTGGGGATGTATAAGTACCCGTCCACATCCACTCTGTTATTGTTAGATGTAGTTCTATTAATTGTATCCATCTGATGAGTTAAGCCGTTTTCAACTGATTTTTATGGTTTGTTCTTATGTTGTATTGTTACACTACTGTCCCAGGTTAGGGGAGAGTTGGCGCCTTCAAACGAGTTTAACCCGCCACATTCTGTATGTGCCTGTCCCAAATCAGGAGCCTGTATTTCAGTGGTTGTCGTTTGTTGCTGTGAATATATTTGTTTTTCGTTCATTACTTTGTACATAAATTAGGCCTTTAGTTTTCTCGTTTGAATTTTTTTATATTTGTCATTTCGGGGCCTTTTAACGTTGACTATGCGGTATGGGCTTTGCTCATTGTTGAAGGCCGTACGGTGACCTATAGTTTTTAACTTCTGTCAGTGTGTCGTTTGGTCTCTTGTGGCGAGTTGTCTCATTGGCAATCATACCACATCTTTTTTTTTTGTAAACGGACAGAAAGTCACAGGACAAAAAGTCACAGAACATAAAGTCACAAATTTGATAGGACAAAAAGTCACAAATAATTTGTTGACAATTGTTTGAATATATAAGAGAAAGATATTGAAATATTTTCTTTTTATTTCATATATTCATTTTTAAGTTGAGGACATTGTTCATAAGCCTTGAAAAATGAAAATTTATTAAATTTTAATCATGCAAAGGATATATTTCTTGGCACAATGAAGCCATTTAAGTACGAAGCCACTTTGACATTTTGTTTTCATAACAATTATTTGATCCTTATTGATATTTATTGAATAAATTTTAATTACAAAGTTGCTTCATATATAATAGTTCAAGAAAAAAAACCAAAAAAAATATTTTTAAAATTAGTGTTTTCTTGTTTAAAGAAAAATAATCTCAAAACTGAGTTGTGACTTTGTCCTGTGACTTTTTGTCCGTGACTTTTTGTCTGTGACTTTTTGTCCTGTGACTTTCAGTCCTACATTCCTTTTTTTTTTATACAAACTGCACCTACAACTATTTCCATTCCATGACTTAATCATATTATCAAACTTACTGAAATTAGCAATTTTTCTAAAATCATCAGGGCCAGGAGTCTTATCATAAGTTGATGTTCGAACCCTGTAACAGTATAACTACAATGTTAGAATATCTAAACAATCTTTCAGTACAACTAAGTCATGTAAACATGGTGGTGAAAATTAATGTAAAGTTTAACAATATTCAATAGCCATGTTACGCATATATCAGTAATTTTAAGGGATGGAACATTTGCTCGTACAAGTAATCATTCATCATACGTACTGACATACGTACTCAAAATGGTACTGCAGTCTTCATAATAAATCGTAAACTTTCGCACTTTCCTGATTTTTTTTCTAAATTATGCCCTTAAATTCGCTAGTTTTCAAGAACTGCTTCAACGGTATATTTCAAAGCTCTTTTTCTCGTTCCTCCTTCCCACCCCCTTTTTAGCTCCGTCGCAGAAAACACGAATTCCCGGAATTAAAACATAAGTCTTCCAAATTCATTTTAAAAATACATCTTCAATTGAATTTCCGGCAGAAAAAAATCTTTTTTGTAACAATTTTTGTTAATTTTTGCAACGTTTAACTTTACATGGACAAACATTTCTCAAGGTGTATATTTTATTTTATGTACGAATGTTTACGATATATCAAACTCTTTTTCCGTTTAGCACCCTTCTATTTCTATTTTTTTTTAAGTTTTTCGTTTGAAGGAAAAAATCAAATATTTCTAATTTTATTTGGTGCTTTCGACTCCAATCTAAATTTGAATAGGATTGTCAGTTTTCCTACCGAAGGTTCAGTGTTCCAGCTAGGATTTCAAAAGGGCAGGGAGCCAATCATGAAAAGGGCACTTTAGCACGATGATTGATATTTCAAAAAGGGCATGTCAAACAATGTCTCATGTTAACTGCAGGGGTTTCAGCTAGGAGTTTTGAGGGGATATTTACTTATGTCCAACAATATATTCATGAAACTGGAAGATTTTTATAATATTTCATGTGATAATATAACTGTTTAGAAATCAGCCTATAACCACAGTGTACCACTCTTTAGTCTTAGTTAAAGACAAACCTAACCTCTAACACAAAAAAACAACCAATTGTGTTTAGCATCCTTTTGCAAATAAATTTATAAATATTTTATTTCATATTTTGTATTAGTAATTATATTTTCAAAAAAAAAATCAAGAAATTAATAATCTTGTAATAAGATGGTATACTAAATTACTTATGTATTGCAAAATAAGGGCCAATAATTCTTGTTATTCATATAAATAGAACAACTTTGTTGCAGTGAGTTTGTGAATTTGATGAAAAATATCACTTAAACGATCTATTTGATTCCTTACCAACACTTATTAATGTGGTATAAAATTCAACACCACTTTCAGTAGATCTTGCAATGACCTTGTTCACATAGTTATATGTATACCCAATAAAATATTTCAAGAAGTGGGGGGATTGCCTCCCCTGACTCACTGCAACAACGTATGATCTATGAATTTATCAGAAAATTATATACTATCATGTTATTCAATCCCTCTTGTATGGGAAAGGATTTGTATAGGCACTGCCTTTTGTCCAATCCCTTTGTTCAAATGTACATTTGACATGATTTGATATTTAAACAATAAAATATTTTGAATTGAATTATGAGGGGTTTAGTCACTTTTACGCTAGATGAAAGTCAACCTTATTTTTGGTAACAGTATTAAAGGGACCATGCAAGGACGTATATTACTAGCTCAGTCTTCCCTAGAACTAGTTGGTGGTTGTCTCCGTGCACACCGGCTTCCCCATCAATAAAAAATGACCTGCAGGCGGGCTGCCACAAAATAGCCAACAGTGATGAAAGTAGCGTTAAGCTGTTAAGGTTTATTCAGACCCCAAAATTTACTTGAGTACAGACTAACCTGTGCATCTGGAAAAGTTTTAAGACAGCATGCCCTAGATAAATATAATTCAAATGCATTTTATTCTTTAGAAAATTTAAAACTTAACTGGATATTGCTGTGCACTTTTTTTCGTCCCTGCAGAAGATGATAAGATTAACAAACAGTTGAGTTTCACTAGATATGGTCCACTCAGGTACACTTATTGCCAGGTATCTAATGTCCTTCTATTGTCCATGTCAATCAATACAGTTCACTTCAATGATTACCTGTGGGGAAGTTCTCAAACCTCTTTCCCAACTTTGTTTATTTTGGCACCTTCTGGAGCATTGAAAAAAAGTTCACTGCAAAACCCAGTTAAGTTTTTAATTTTCTAACAGAGAAAATATATATGAATTTTATTTATCTAGAGCTATGCCTTAAAATTTATCCAGATACTCAGGTTTGTCTTTACTCAGAGTAAATTTTGAGGTGAAAATGCAGCAATTTTAGCCGAAGGGTCCACATGAACCTTAAACATCAATCAATCAATCCAATGTTATTTACAATAATAGTCTGTTATTAGATTATGGTTCATCAAAAGGAATTGAAAAACATGACCGTGTTTACACCACAAAATCTACTCTGAGTACAGACAATGTATCTAGGAAAGTTTTAAGTTTTGGCTGCCGGAACTAGATATATATCTAAGTTATAAGTTTTTCATGTTTCAGAAAATTAAAAACGAAACCTGGACTTTGATATACATTTTTTTCCAGTCTGCAGAAGATAGCAAAATAAGCAAACACTTGTGAGGAGCTCATCAAACCTCTTTCCCAACTTTGTTTATTTATTTTGGCACATTCTGCAGGTATGAAAAAAAATGTATAGCAACATCCAGTTAAGTTTTTAATATCATGAATATTCTGAAACTTAAAATGCATTTAAACGTTATATATCTACATGTAGGTCCAGCCATGCTCTAAAACTTTTCCAGATGCACAGGTTTGTCTGTACCCAGAGTGAAATTTGTGGTGTAAATACAGCCATCAGTCGAAGACCGTAAACTCCTAACTATCCTACTGTCTGTCGATACATTTATTTTTGGCATTGCACTAGTCATGTCTTCTTTGACTGTCCATGACGTTAAAATACTAAATCCCTGGGATGTGTTTTAGTTGATTTTAGTCTCTGATGCATGATTTTTTATTATTAATTGTTTTGGCTTTTAACTAGCTGTCAGTAACTGCGAGTACTCTCAAATCGTACTTTCTTGTTTATTTGACCTGTTGATACTAATTGTATTGCTTTTTTGTTATTTAATGTTATTCAGGGTTATATCTGGTCTATATACCAGCTTTTATAAGTGTTTGGTATAACTATAAATTTTCACTTCGTACTATGAACATCAAAATTATTTATTTTGTAATAATATTTCCTTTCTCTATTGGTACTGTACACGTATACCTGACAACAAAATTATTTTCATTTACCTGTGTTTAAAGTTATTGCAAATGGATGGTATTTTTGTTCGAGCATATTGTTTTTCTTTAATTGTTTAACATTTCTTACCGATATAACATGTTACTTTTATTATTCTTCCCTTAGTTTATTTATTTTGTATTCAAAATTATTTATTTTGTAAAAATATTTCCTTTCTCTATTGGTACTGTACAGGTATACCTAACAACAAAATTATTTTCACTTACCTGTGTTTAAAGTTATTGCAAATGGATGGAATTTTTGTTCGAGCATATTGTTTTTCTTTAATTGTTTAACATTTCTTAACGATATAACATGTTACTTTTATTATTCTTCCCTTAGTTTATTTATTTTGTATTTACATTGTGTCATAGGTCAAATTTATTTGTTCAGTGTATGTTCAGTGGTGTTTATATGTCCTTTGATTGAGTTAAGCTATTTCAGTTGATATTTTATAGTGTGTCTTTCTATGTTGTGATGTTACACTATTGTTTCAGAAAAAGGGTGAAGGTTTGGTACCATTAAAACGTTTAAACCCGCTGCATTTGTTTGCACCTGTCCTAAGTCAGGAATCTGATGTTCAGTAGTTTTCGCTTGTTGATGTGGTTTATAAGTGTTTCTCGTTTCTAGTTTTTTATATAGATTAGACCGTTGGTTTTCCCGTTTGAATGGTTTTACACTAGTAATTTTTTGGGGCCCTTTATAGCTTACTGTTCGGTGTGAGCCAAGGCTCCGTGTTGAAGACCGTACTGTGACCTATAATGGTTTACTTTTATAAATTTTTACTCGGATGGAGAGTTGTCTCATTGGCACTCATACCACATCTTCTTATATCTATGTTTGCTAAAAGATTATGATGAACCTCAATAAGCATTTTTGGGTGGTTAAATATCATCAGAATTAATCAGTTTATTTCTTATATTATAGATTGTTAAAAGAATTGGGTCAATTAAAATAATATGAAGGATGGTTGGTACATTTTTATATACTGTAAGATGTAGTCTTCAATCTTTGCCTTGATGACAGTAATCTCTCATATCAATCATCTTTGCTTGTAAAATTTTAATCTCAATTGTAGTTTCTCCTTTGTACATAAAGATTGTACATGTAGGTAGAGCTTTAAAAAATAATAATAAAGAAAAAATATACTAAAATAAAAAAAAAGATGTAGGAAAATTATACAAGCTAAATATAGTTCAACTTATGCATGTTATATGTTATTGTTTTTTATTTCTTAAAAGTCATTAGGACATTTGGGGTTTTTATTTCACTGAAAACTTTATTTTTTTAATTTATCAAGAAAAAAGATAGTAAAGAGTTTAGTTTTTTACTTTGTAGCCCTCCAAAGTTAAGAAGAGAGATACAGATTAGTCCTTATATAATAAAACATGTTGAGGCACAGATCAGAATACAAACCCCAAACAGACCACAATTTGTTCCTATAGTTAGTCCTAGACAAATCCCAGTTGTCAGTCCTACACCTCAACATAGTATGTATTTTGTTATTCCATTGGTTTTATTATAATTTATATCTGAATTGATACATGTTTTAAAATGGAATTATTGTTTAGGGTCAGCATTTATTTTATAATGATTTTATATATTTCAAATTCTACGAAGGCATTTTATTTTATTTTTACCAAATGAAATACATATTTTTTTATTGAATTGTTATTTTCATATTAACTGTAACTGTATATTATATAAAATCCAGGCAACATGGATTTTTGCACAAACTATGAAAATTTGTATCCATTATCATGATATGACATAAGCACATGTATAAATATAAACATGTTTATGGAACTAATTTTTTTGGAATTTTGAAATTAGTTGTCTGATTTATGACAGGCTTACCCTGAATCCATAAAAAAAAAATATATATATAAGATTAAGAGAAATTTAATCCATTCTATATTTTTGATTATCAGATAAACGAAGTTAATTTTTAACTGGATACATCTTTCTAAATGTTTTTGTTTGTAATGATTCTTTTGTATAATGTATTAAACATGAAAAATTCAAGAACTCTAGAAAATCCCAATTAAATCCATTTTTTACATCTTATTTCAGTGCAGAACAGAAAATATTCTAAGGTGACAATGCAGTCTTCCATGGATGAATCTGAAGAAACAGTTTGTAGCCCTGTAGAGGCACATGATGAACACTTCACAAGGCAGATACCAGACATGGGCAGCATTGTCAAGCCTAGTAATGAACGCTTCAAAATACATATACCCGTGCTAACATCTGACAGTTCTTCTAATACAGAAGCATTTGTCAAAACAGAATTTTTACCCACTTGCGGTAAGCAAAATACAATTGAAAAGCTTGTTATTGGTTATTGCACAATTTGCCATTTCAGAATACTAGTACACTGTACATAGGTATATTTGTACTGTAATTTCATTGTTTGTACAAATCATGTCTTTCTATTTTACATATAAATTTTAGCTCAAGATTATAGGTCCTTTCATGGGTAGTTATAAATCAGAACTCATTAAGAAAATTAAATCTTATTTCAGATTTCAGTAAAAGTACAAGTGTTGATTTAGAAGGTGAAATGGTAGATAGTGCAATAGATAGTGTGATGGGTCTTCCACAGGCCTTTAATGAAGTGGTTGAAATGCAAAAAGGCCAAAGCAGTGAAATACAGAAGCAACAAATGTTACTGAAGACTTTGCAGGTAAAAAGCTTTGTGGAGAATGTTCAAACATTTTTAAATCTAATTTAAAAATTCAAAATTTTTAGATAAAACTATATAGTTTTTGGAATTATCCTTTTTATGAGAAATGCATAGCATTATCTCATGATATTGTCAGTGTATTGTTTTTGTTTTCAGGGAAAATTTAAAGAAGGTATATAGTTATAATGTTAATTATAATGTTTCTTGTTCCTAATGTTTCTTGTTGTTTAGGCATTAGCATGAAAACAATAGTTATCACACAAGTTCTTATTTGATTTCCCTACCAAGTACAACAACATACAAGTAAGGAAATACAGTGATTCCCAGTCAAATAAAAACTTCACTATTAGAATAAATCCAGTAATTTCACTTCTCTGACATCATGCTACAACAGATGTTGTCAATACATTGTCAACAAAGTTGCATCAAAACAAGAATGAAAGCAAAGAAAAAATATAGCTTTCTTGCATTTTCTTCTTTATTTACATTAAAAATCTATGTCATATAAAGAATAACTAATCCAAAAATTAATACATAAAAAAATATTCAACTCTGGATCGAACAACACTGATAATTCACTCATGCAATATGCACACTTGTGAATTATTTTGTTGTTTGGTCACATTGAAAAATTTTCCACATTCAAGTTGTTGTATTTATATAAAAATAAGAAGCTATGATATGATTGCCAATGAGACAACTCTCCACCAGAAACCTAATGACGTAGAATGTTAGCAACTATAAGTCACCGTACTGCCTTCAACATTGAGCAAAACCGATACCACATAGCTAGCTATTAAAGACCTCAAAATGACAAATGTAAAACAATTCAAACAAGAAAACAAACTGCCTGATTTATGTACAGAACAATAAACGATAAACAAATATGATATACAGCAATTAAGGAGAAACAAATATGATATACAGTAATTAAGGATAAACAAATATGATATACAGCAATTAAGGATAAACAAATACGATATACAGCAATTAAAGATAAACAAATATGATATACAGCAACAAAGGTCCTTTAAGGACAACCACTGAATTATAGGCTCCTGACTTCGGACAGGCACATACAGAATGGGTGAATAGTGTTAAACATGTTTGTGGGCACGCAAAACCCTCCCCCTAAGCTGATCTATAATTCTGCAATACAACAATAAAATTCCATACCTCTTTTGTTTGAATATGACATAAATTTATAATATTTATGACTAATGATTCTCATGCTAATGTTCATAAACTTCATATTGATTATTAACTGTTTAAATGATAAGTTTTTGTTTGTTATGTTTAATTTTTCATTTTTGAAATAACATTTTCATAGACTCATATGGATAAAGAATTAAGTTCAGAAATGCAAGAAAATATTTTAAATTAAAACAGAAATGATTATAGTCAAACTAGCTCCAAAATCTGTGAATATTATAGTACAAAATACTCTGATGCATGTTTACATAAATGTTAATTCAGATTAAATAATGTATTTCATATCAAAGAAAGAAATATTCTTTGAAGTTGACATGTTTATTAGGGCTGCAACCATTATTATGTTAACTCAATGTAACCTTTCAACAATAAAATTCAATATATTTCAAATTTATTAAGATCTCTATTTTTGTCTAGCCTCAACCAAGGCGTGCAGGCAATATTTTGGTGTGCCGTTGATATGCTGATGTATAAGCACCGTATTATCTTTATATCTATGAAGATGGCCCCTTACCCTCAGTCATGCACAATTGTCTTTGAAAGTTTTGTATAGTTCACATGTTCAATTCGTATTTCAACATTTGCATTACTTTATCAAAATTACATACAGGGCTGAGGCTAGACATTTCTCTGTGTGTTAATTTTTTTTATAATTTTTGATTTAAATGTATGTAAATATCTTTCTGATATTGATTTGTAAATTTAATTTGAATGCCTACATAGATAGTTTAGTAGTTGGTCTTACCATTATATAACTGTATAGTTACAGAAAAGAAAGAGGAAGTAACCCAGGAACTTACTGGAGTCACACATAAGATTTATATAATAGAGGAGCAAAAGAGAACTTGTACCAAGAAATGTAAAGAATTTGATAGTGGTTTGTATTGCATATATCAAATAATCCTGTCATTGCAACTGGAAGAGATTTGCAAAATATTGACCTCTTGTGTTCAGATTTAAGAGGAAAAAGATCAAAATAAATTCCCTGGAAACAAAGAATTTACTTAATAGATGGTGATTGATTGCAGGATAAAAGAGGGACGAAAGATACCAGAGGGACAGTCAAACTCATAGATCGAACTGACAACGCCATGGCCAAAAATAAAAAGACAAACAGACAAATAATAGTACAGATGACACAACATAGAAAACTAAAGACTAAGATAAGATGATTTTTGTTTTCTTCTTCATGGTGTCTTTGAGATAAGGAAAACAGGAGTCTAATTTATTTGGAAAAATTACATAAAAACTGACAGAATATGATGTCTAATAGAAAACATTTTACCAATGTATTTATCTCAATCTGTCATAACAGATTTGTTTTTATAGATAACATAAAAATGTAACTTTGTCCATTTTTAAATGGAAAATGTTGTTGATAGCACAAACTGTACTGTAAGCACTTGACCACATTTTACTACTAACTACATCTGTATAGAAGTTTGACATAAGTGTTTAACATCATTTTACTAAAGCTGTGTATGAATGTTAGTAAGCAATCAATTGTTATTGTATATGTAGGACAACTCACATGTTTCACCAAAAATGTTAGGGCCATGTATCTCTTTGTTGACAATAGTATGATGACAGCTTAGGTGATCATTTTTGATAATGGATGTTGCTTTTTAGGGTTACAGCCTTATTGCATTTTTTACAGTTATATCTTTTTATTCATCATGATCATAAAGATGTGATCAGAAAATTTTGTTTTACAGAAATTAAACAGTTAGTTATAGAATCTGAAAAAGAAAGAAATGGTATTAATGATTTAAAAGGAGATATAGAAGAAAATAATAGGTAAAGAAGTTGTGTGTATATTTATTTTCTGAGTAGAATAATTCCTCTTATATGAGGAAGGATAAGAAAAACCAGAATATCAAAAATAAATACCTAGTATTAAAAAAAAGAATGACATGGAAACCTCTCTTAGTGTATTCTATACTGCATTTGATAGTACATGTATAAGTGAGACCTAACCTGTGAAATACTGGGTTCTGGTTTGAATATTTTGATCAATGTTATATGTTAGTGGCTATTTTTGTACTTAAAAGACTATGATACTTACAAGTACACCAAAATAAAATAAATGAAACATTTTGGGTAGTTTTTTTATTATTTTGTATGTTATCATGGTTATTGATCAATAAGTGTTTAAGTATGTTTTTACTGAGAAATCAAAACTTTCAAGAAACAGTGAATTTTGCAACATATTTAAATACTGATATTTATTGTTATCACCATGTCATATGAAGCTGCATCAGGATTCTTCTGTTTGAATCACAAAACTACAAAGGCACATCTTTTACAAATCTTTTTACCTATATAGCATTAACCTGCAAGGAGAATGATAATTTGTAAATTACAGACAATATGCCAAGTACAAAGAAAAGATAATAAGACATAAACAAGTTGTGGCAGAGTTTGAAGCTAATCTTGAGGTACACGAAGAACTCCAGCAAATCAAAGAAGAAATTAAAGAACTACAAAATGAATGTAAGAGGAAATTATTGTTGACGATATATTTAAGGCAAATAAGGGGGTCACCATATTCTTTTTTTTTTCAGTAGAAATCAGTTGGGTTTGATTTGTATCTTGAAAAAAGGGTCAAAATGACAAAATGATCATAACCTCGTGAAGGTGTCAAGCTGCAAAATCATATTTTTTTTCATTCATTATGCATGCTTGAATGATTTATACAGCAAAAACGAATTTGTTGCTCCCTAGTATTTTTGTCCAGTTTTTGAAAGCGAAACACAGCGATCCTAGATTCCGTCGTCGGAGGTGTCATTATTTAGGTTCAGTCTGTGGTTAAAAGTTTTTTAGGACATAAATAACTTTTTCAAACATACAAGGAATTTTATGAAATTGGGACAGTAGCTTCTTTATGACCATGATGACCAAAATACAGTATCCAGGGAAAAATTTTGAAAATATTTATTTTCTTTTTACTGTATTTTACTAATAAATGGACTTATTTTTTTTTACAATTAACTTTCATATTTTCATAAGTGTTTAAGTATGTTTTTACTCAGAAATCAAAACTTTCAAGAAACATTTTCATATTTCAGTCATCAATAACTTTGTCAAACCTTCATGGAATTTTATAAAATATGGACCGAAGCTTGTTTATGACCAAAAGACAGTATCCAGAGCAAAATTTTGCAAATATTTATTTTCATTTACTGTATTTAACTGATAAATGGACTTAGTTTTTTTTGCAGTTAACACTCAGGCTCAGTCTGAAGTTAAAGTTTTTCAGTCATCAATAACTTTGTCAAAGCTTCATGGAAATTTATGAAATTTGGACAGAAGCTTGTTTATGACCAAATTATAGTATCCAGAGCAAAATTTTGAAATATTTATTTTCATTTTTCGGTATTTTACTGATAAATTGACTAAGTTTTTGTCGAGCTTACAACGTCTGTCGCAGAAAGCTCGACATAGGGATAGTGATCTGGCGGCAGCGTCTTTAACTGACTTCTTAAAGGCTTGATATTTCCAAAGGTAGAAGACCTGGATGCTTCATACTTTTTATATAGATGCCTTATGATATGAAGTTTCTGTCTGTCATATGTCTATTATCCTTAACCTCATTTTCATGGTTCAATGACTACTTGAAAAAAAGTTAAGATTTATTGTAATGTTGATTTCTCTCTTATTATGAGTAAAAGGATAACTATATTTGGTATGTGCATACCTTAAAAGGTCCTCATGCCTGTCAGACAGTTTTCACTTCACCTCGACCTCATTTCATGGATCAGTGAACAAGGATAATTTTTTGTGGTCAAGTCCATATCTCAGATACTATAAGCAATAGGTTTACTATATTTGGTGTATGTAATTATTGTAAGGTGTACATGTCCAACTGGCAGGTGTCATCTGACCTTGACCTTATTTTCATGGTTCAGTGGCAAAAGTTAAATTTTTGTGTTTTTGTTTGTTTTTAGCTCACCTAGCCTGAAAATCCAAGTGAGCTTTTCTCATCACTTGGCGTCCATCGTCCGTCATGGTCGTCCGTCAACTTTTCAAAAATCTTCTCCTCTGACATTACTGGGCCATAATCATTATTGGGGTATCTAGTTTAAAAAATTTGTCCAACGACCCTGCATGCCAACCAACATGGCCGCCATGGCTAAAAATAGAACATACAGGTAAAATGCAGTTTTTGGCTTATATCTCTGAAACTAAAGCATTTAGAGTAAATCTGAAACAGGTAAAAATGTTCATCAGGTTTAGAACTATCTGCCCTGAAATTTTCAGACTAATCAGACAACCCATTGTTGGGTTACTGCCCCTGAAATAGTAATTTTAAGGAAATTTTGCAGTTTTTAAACGACTGCAAAAAAAATTTTGTGGTCGTATATTGGTATGACGTTGGCGGCGTCGTCGTCCGAGGACACATTGGTTTTCGCACTCTAACTTTAGTTTAAGTGAATGGATCTCTATAAAATTTTACCATAAGGTTCAGTACCACAAAAGGAAGGTTGGGATTGATTTTGGGGGTTATGGTACTAACAGTTCAGGAATTAGGGGCCAAAAAGGGGCCAAAAATATTTATTTTTGTAACTTCCAGACATAACTTGTGTGTTAGTGTATGGATCTTTCTGACATTGTACCACAAGGTTCCATATCACAAAGGGAATGCTGGGATTGATTTTGGGGTAATTGCCTCAAAATTTTAGGAATTAGGGGCCAAATAAGGGGCAAAAAACAAGCATTTTTCTAGTTTCATGATAATAACTTGTGTGTAAGTGTATGGATCTTTCTGAAATTGTACTACAAGGTTTCATATCACAAAGGGAAAGCTGGAACTGAGCCAAAAAGGGGCAAAAACAAGCATTTTTCTAGTTTCAGGACAATTTCTTGTGTGGAAGTGTATGGATCTTTATGAAATTGTACTACTAGGTTCCATATCACAAAGGGAAAGCTGGGTTTGAGTTTGAGGGTAATTGCCCGAAACGTTTAGGAATTTGGGGCCAAAAAGGGGCCTAAAAACAAGCATTTTTCTAGTTTCATGATAATAACTTGTGTGTAAGTGTATTGATCTTTCTGAAATTGTACTACAAGGTTCCATATCACAAAGGGAAAGCTGGAACTGAGCCAAAAAGGGGCAAAAAACAAGCATTTTTCTTGTTTCAGGACAATTTCTTGTGTGGAAGTGTATGGATCTTTATGAAATTGTACTACAAGGTTCCATATCACAAAGGGAAAGCTGGGTTTGAGTTTGAGGGTAATTGCCTTAAACGTTAAGAATTTGGGGCCAAAAAGGGGCCTAAAAACAAGCATTTTTCTAGTTTCCAGACAATAACTTGTGTTCAAGTGTATGGATCTCTCTGAAATTGTACTGCAAGGTACCATACCATTAAGGGAAGGATGGGAGTTTGAGGGTATACATCATTAGGGGGTTCAAAAAATTTGGAGGAGGGATTTTTTTTTTCTTTAAAATATTCCATTTTAAATTGGTTGTTTCTGATTTATATATAAAAGCAAATAATAATGATATGGTTTGAATAGGCAAATTAAAATTTTTTAAGTTCTTAGACCACATTCATTCTGTGTCAGAAACCTATGCTGTGTCAAATATTTAATCACAATCCAAATCCAGTGCTGTATCAAGCTTGAATGTTGTGTCCATACTTGCCCCAACTGTTCAGGGTTCGACCTCTGCGGTCGTATCAAGCTGCGCCCAGCGGAGCATTTTATTGGTTATTATCTTGAATATTATTATAGATAGAGATAAACTGTAAGCAGCAATAATGTTCAGCAAAGTAATATCTTCAAATAAGTCAATGTGACCAAAATTGTAAATTGCCCCCTTAAGGAGTTATTGCCCTTTATAGCCAATTTTTCGTAAATTTTTGTAATCTTTTACAAAAATCTTCTCCACTTGATTTACAGGGCAAAATAGAATTAAACTTAGCCACAATTTTCAATAGGGTATCTTGATTAAAAATGTATCCAATGACCCTGTCATCTAACCAACATGGCTAAAAATAGAACATAGGGGTTTACTATAGAAGTCTTAAGAGAAAATTGTGAAAAAAAAATTTCAAATGGTCACAACTTGAAAACTAATTTAAATAATGATAAGGGGTCTTCAGTAACTATTGTAAGACTAAAATAGGATGAACTGCTTTTAATTTAACTACTGGGCCAAATTAAACCAAACTTGGCCTCAATCATTATTAGGGTATCTATTACTCTTTATTATGATTTTAACCTTATTTTACATGATTTCCAAAAACACAGTAGATACAGGTGAGTGACACAGGCTCTTGTCTTGAGAGCCTCTAGTTTTAATACTGTATACAATAGGTCAACTATATTTGGTGTATGAAAATATTCTACGACTTACTTGTCAGTCTGGCAGGTTTTATTTTGCCTTTACCTCATTTTCATGGTTCATTGCACAATGTTAAGTTTTTGTATTTTGGTCTGTTTTTCTTAAAATTTAAGCAATAGGTCAACTATATTTGGTGTATGGAATGATTGTAAGGTGTATATATCTGTCTGGTTGGTATCATCTGACCTTCACCTCATTTTCATTGTTCATTGGTCAATGTTCAGTTTTCCTGGTTAACTTTGTTTCTTATATACTATAAGCAATAGGTTAACTATATTTGATGCATGGAATGATTTTAAGGTATACATGTCTGTCTGTCAGGGTTCATCTGACCTTGACCTCATGTTCATGGTTCATTGGTCAATATTTAATTTCCATGGTTTGGTCTGTTTCTTTTATACTATTAGCAATAGGTCATCTATATTTGGTGTATGGAATGATTGTATTAAAGGTGAACATGTATTTCAGGCTTGGTTTATCTGACCTTGAACTCATTTTCTTGGATCATAAATGTTAATGTGATACTTGTAGTAAAACTTTATATTTAGGACTATCAACATAAAATCAGTGGTCAGTATAGTAGGCGAGGCATTTCAGCTTGTGCACTCTTGTTTACAGTTAACAAGTAGATACAGTCTGGGGTTAAAGTTTGTTACACATCAATTATTACTTTGTCAAACCTTCATAGAGTGTTATGATTCTTTGGCAGAAGCTTTTTAATGAATAAGAGATAATGTCTGAAGTAAACCTTTTATTTTTATTGTTTTTTTGATAGAGTGACTTTGTTATGTACAGTTATCATTTATAGACAGTCTGGGATTAAATTTGCTTGACACGATAAATTTGTAAACCTTCATGGATTGTTCTGAAACTTGGACAGAAGCTAATCTTCAAGACCAAGAAAGAGCATCTAAAGAAAAACTTTGAATTTTTTTTAAATTCTGATACTGATAAATGGACTCACTTTTTAGGTCAACATTACACTTTTACACTGACATCAGCAATTGCAAACGAGACACAGGGTTCCGTGGAACCCCTTACGAAATTTTATATCAATAAAATTGAAATGTTAAAAAAATATGTTTAAGTTTAGAACAAAATCCTGTTGACTGATTGTTTGAGAAATCGCAACTTAAAGTGAAAAATGCATATTTTTTGTTGCTTTTGCATACATTCTAGACAATTATAGACCTTTTTCACAAATTTTAAATTAAATTGATTGAATCTTTTTCAACATGTTCTAAATGCATACAAAATTTCATCAGAATCCAAAATATATCACCAAATTACATATACTTTGCCTTAAGTATCTTCAGATGTTTGAAGCAAACAAGTGTAGACGTGATACCTTAGAATAAAACATACCTTTCTTATGTATTTTTTAAGATGTGGAAAGTACTTTCTTTTACTGATCTTGTTGGCTGACCAAGAAATAAATTACAAAAAACAGACGCCTTATTTTATGGTAAATCATACCACACCTTCTTATATTCATATCAATTTTGAAACTCTTAAAAAATAAGTGATTTTGATATTGTGTTTTTTAAAAGAAATATCCTTAGAATATAATTTCATTTTCCATATGAAACAGGGACAAAACAAGGAATTTTGATAAAGAATTATGACAATCCTTAAAATCAAATTTATTTTTTATTTGAAATAAGTTCATATTACACACACACCTCTGATAACTTTTTTTCAGGATAACTTATAATTTATAATTAAGTTCCATACAGTCATTGGCCTATAAATCAAAACATGATAAGAATAAGATCTAAAAATCCAGTCCAAGGTCTGAATTAAAACACAGCCAGAAAACAAACTAAAAATCCAGTCCAAGGTCTGAATTAAAACATTATCAGAAAAAGATCTGAACATACAATCCTGTACCTGAATCAGAAGTGATGGGTATTTTACTTCATCAACATTTAATTACTTGTCAAAGGAAGTTTCTATTGAATATAACTGGTGTTTAGCCTGGGATCCTGGCCAACTGCTTGACAGTAGAGCCAGGCTGAATACAACAACATGGTTCCGTCAATTGGATGTTAGAATGGTGCATCATGGGATAGCGTCATTTCTTGACACATGGCGGGAAATATTTATATTGCCACAAATTTATTGAAAACTATTTTTATTTTCATATGAAATGCAAATTTCGAAAACTTTAACAAATATAGTCCAAGCGTTGTTGATTAGCATCGTGAATCAACAGTTAATTAACAATCCGATCGATATATTCCTTGATTATAAAATACGCACATGCGCAGTAATTCAGTCCTGTTCAGCGCTGATAGTTGATCACGTGGATTGTATTACGCCTGGCCCTATCGACGAAGTATTAGATTGGGTCAGGATGCCAGGCTAACTGGTGTTATATAGTGAGTTATCTCCCCATTAGTACCATCATATATCATGAGTTAAAACAAACTGATGCTGATATGCATTGATATACCTTCTGAATTAGATACAGTATAGAAATGCCAAGTTTTTCCTATCATATGAAATTAAAAATGTGGGATATATGTCAATGAGACAGCAACCCAAAGATACAATTAATCAAAAAACTTGTATGTAAAAATAGGAAGATGTGGTATGATTGCCAATTAGACAACTATCTACCAGAGACCAAATGAAGAAGAAGTTGTACAAGAGAAGCATGACAAGATTTCCATATCTTATCAATGCCTTTCTGAATTAGATAGGAAATATTATTCATTCAGTGTCTATCTTTTTTTTTTCAGTAAAAAAAAGTTCATCATAAAATGATTGAGTTGCCTTAAAAAGAAATTATATTTTTAATTTATATGTAGGTGACAAAAGGCAGAGGAACAAGTGTGATACAGAGAAGTTATTATCTGGTCAAGTAGAAAACAAAATAAAAGAACATATTTTAAGAGTCCAGAATGATGTAGAACAGTTAAAGCTTTTACTACAGGAAACAAGAGAACAGGTAAGACTTTTATTTCATGTGGTGCTAGTCAATCATCAGTGTTTGTATAGGTATAATTAAATTCTCACTAGAATGATTTACAAATAAAAAGTAGGATTTGTAATAGATTTTGACAAAAATGTATAAAGGAAGAAATTGTAATGCTCTATATATAGATTTCAGCATTTTCTCTTCAAAAGGCAAATTTAATCACTTCCATTTCATGCTACAACTACATATAATAGCAGTGATAAATTAAGAGAGTTAGGAGTATACAGGTTTCTTTATGAAGAATTATTATTATTTTTTGCCAAAGATGAGGTAGACTGCCAAATCACTGGTTCTAGAAGAACTTGTGTGAATTTATATTTTCATCCATTTATTAAAAATGTATTTATGCTAAGGGGTCATTAATTTAATGTGTATTGATGCTGCACCATTTATTTCATTTCAAGATTCAAAAAGAGAAAGAAAAGCAAAGTCAAGCACATGTTTCCTTAAATGTTCTTCATGTAAGTATACTGTCTTAGCAAACTGTGGTGGTCATATAAATATAATTGATTTCAATTTATTTTGTTTTGAATATAGGTCTGAAAATAGACAGTAACTCAGCACACAATAAAAACAGAAAACAGAGAAAAGACAACAAAGATCTTTAATATGCAAAAGATAATTGTCAATGATATATGTCAATCTCAGTCCCAAATCAAGACAATTTGTGAATTAGAAAAACGACTACCAAAATGGTTACCTAAGTCTTTAAAGGGAAAATGATACTTCGATACCAACAAAAACTATCACCAACAAGGTTTCTAACCTGTAAGACACATTACAATTGGCATGTTGAAAAGTCACTGGGTATATACTGGTGCTAGAGGACAGTTAGTTCCCATTTGAGCCAAGTAGTCCATGCCTGGTGGTGGAGGACTGTTAGTTTCCATTAGAGCCCAGGAGTCCATGCCTGGTGCTGGAGGACTGTTAGTTCCCATTAGAGCCCAGTAGTCCATGCCTGGTGGTGGAGGACTGTTAGTTCCCATTAGAGCCCAGTAGTCCATGCCTGGTGGTGGAGGACTGTTAGTTCCCATTAGAGCCCAGTAGTCCATGCCTGGTGGTGGAGGACTGTTAGTTCCCATTAGAGCCCAGTAGTCCATGCCTGGTGGTAGAGGACTGTTAGTTCCCATTAGAGCCCAGTAGTCCATGCCTGGTGCTGGAGGACTGTTAGTTCCCATTAGAGCCCAGTAGTCCATGCCTGGTGGTGGAGGACTGTTAGTTCCCATTAGAGCCCAGTAGTCCATGCCTGGTGCTGGAGGACTGTTAGTTCCTATTAGAGCCCAGTAGTCCATGCCTGGTGCTGGAGGACTGTTAGTTCCCATTAGAGCCCAGTAGTCCATGCCTGGTGGTAGAGGACTGTTAGTTTCCATTAGAGCCCAGTAGTCCATGCCTGGTGTTGGAGGACTGTTAGTTCCCATTAGAGCCTAGTAGTCCATGCCTGGTGCTGGAGGACTCTTAGTTCCCACTAGAGCCCAGTAGTCCATGCCTGGTGGTGGAGGACTGTTAGTTCCCATTAGAGCCCAGTAGTCCATGCCTGGTGGTGGAGGACTGTTAGTTCCCATTAGAGCCCTGTAGTCCATGCCTGGTGCTGGAGGACTGTTAGTTCCCATTAGAGCCCAGTAGTCCATGCCTGGTGGTGGAGGACTGTTAGTTCCCATTAGAGCCCTGTAGTCCATGCCTGGTGCTGGAGGACTGTTAGTTCCCATTAGAGCCCAGTAGTTCATGCCTGGTGCTGGAGGACTGTTAGTTCCCATTAGAGCCCTGTAGTCCATTCCTGGTGCTGGAGGACTGTTAGTTCCCATTAGAGCCCAGTAGTCCATGCTTCAACACTGACATCATATATAACATACATTTCTTAAATTTTACATTAATACATTTATTACTAAGAAACTAATGTTCCAACTTTCTATGTCAAAATTGATCTTACAAATAGTTTTGGGTATACTTTTTATGTCTCTTTAAGTAATATAGTTCCTAAAGAACTTACGGGTGCTATAAACAGTTTCATATAAAATACTATGGGATATTCCACAAATGGAAATATATTGATTTGTTCATTTTCTCAACAGATTTTCTATTGTATTATTTGTAGAAAAAGAACACAGCACAGTTGACAAGACTTAAGAAACAAGTTAAGGCTGCACAACAAAGTAGTCGACAGTGGCATGATCAGATTTCTCTACTTCAGAAAACTATAGCTGAGTTAAACAATAGACTGGGACAATAGTCATGTGTCTTATCTTACAATGTCATCGTGAAGTAAAACAAAGATGAAATAAGAATTTCTGCTAGAATCATCCTTGGTAGAAATGAAAATCAAAAATATTTTCTGATGCCGAAACTTTGGTGAAAACACAAATTGGATTACGTTAGAAATTACCATTTTATTGTGATGAAGCAGCAGTGATATTAATTACCTATCGATTATAAGATCACAATTATTTATATGACTCAATATAATATTTTTTGTCAGTTGTGATTTTGGAAATAAATGATAGAAAAAAATTAGCTTTTTAAAAATTTTGCATTTTTTAACACACATTTATTTGGGATTTCAATTAGCTTTCAGCAAGTTTGGGTACTCTTAGACAAGTATTTTGTGTCTCTTGCCTCTTTTTTTATCTTTTGTGCTTAGTACAGATCTGATAAGTCAAAGTCTTTCCAACTAATTTTTACAGTTTATTTTCATGTTGTGTCAGCACACCATTGTTCCAGGTTTGGGGAGGTTTGAGGAGCACTCACAGACATGATTATGTGCCTGTCCCAAGCCAGGAGCCTGATTCCAGTGGTTTGTCTGCCATACTGTGGATTCATTTATTTTCGTGGGTACCAATTTTCTTGGATTGAGGAAACATTACATTTTCGTGGATATTTGATTTCGTGGTTTTGCCAAAGTCTGCATACAGGCCTATATAAAATTTGTCATTCGTTGAACATTTTAATTCATGGTTTACCTGTACCCACGAAACCCACGAAAATTGGTATCCAACAAATAATAATGAATCCACAGTAATTGTTTATTGTTGTATTATAAATCAGGGTATTGGTTTTTATACGCCCATTTAAGGGACGTATTATGGTATACAGTTGTCAGTCCGTCCATCTGTCGTCAACATGTCGGACAATTACTCAAAAAGGCTTGAAAATTTTGTTATGAAACCTTAGTGAATTGTTTACATCTATTGACATTAGTGCTCGTTGATTTTTATAAATTTTCTTTTCATTTTTTTTTTTTTTCAAGGGGGGGATTTTCCAGTTATTGGACAAACCTCTAAAACCTTTTAACCAATTTTCATGAAACTTTGGTGAATTGTTTATATCTATTGATATAAGCTCCCTTTTGATTTTTATAAATTTTAGATATTACGTTTCCAAGTTATTGGATTTTATTTATAAAAAAGGAGGATTTTTCATTTTTCGAACAATTACTCAAAAATGCTATAAGCAGTTTTCATAAAACTTTGATGACTGGTTTATATCTATTAAAATAAGCTCCCTTTAGTTTTTTGTAAATTTCTGATATGACATTGAGGAGTTATGGAACTTTATTTGTTCAAAAAGCAACAGGCGTATCATGCGCTCATGGCGAAGCTCTTTATTTCTTTTGAATCGTTTCACATTTTGTCATCTCATGCCTTTTATACCTTACTATGTGACATGTGTTTTCCTTGTTATTGGAGGCTTTGCAGTGATTTGATCTTTAGTCTTTGTTGAATAGTTGCCTCATTGGCAATCATACCACATCTCCTGATCTTTATATTGTTGTCTGTTCTAAGAAGTTATGTGTCAATTTCTGATGTGTTTACTGTGTTTATAAGTTAAGAAGGCCAACTTCTCTGTATTTAAGACCAATAATGTTAGTCATAAATCAGAGGTTTAAAAATAATATTCACAGACAATCAATCAAATGTTTCTTATTAATATGTTTTGGGATTGAGGAAGCATTCTATAAACTTTGTGGCTTCAAGGTCAAAGATCAAAGTCATGGTTGTGTATTTTAGACACTTCATTTAATCAATCTTTCAGACTTTAATGAACTAGAGGTTACTTGGGTTGAGGAAGACACCTATTTGACTTTAGATCATTTAAAGTTCAAGGCCACATCAGGTATATATAGACTTTTTTCTCACAGAAGAGTACCAGCATTTTGCCAAATGGATACCTTCATATGGTGTATTGAACTCTTTTTGACCTAGATGTTAATTTCTATATTTTTAGGGCATGCAATACACATCTTTTCACTTTGGCTTGTAAAATTTTACCAATGTGTTTCATTACACGATGTGTTTGACTTTCCTCTAACTTATTGACCTTGAATGAAACACTTCTTTTTAAGGGGTAATCATCATATGCAATCTCTGCCCCAAACTTAGACTCAAGGAAGACCGTTTTCAAATATGTTACTTACATAATTAGTCTATATCATAAGTTTCTTAATTTGCCAAAATAAAGAAGAAACAGAATTGTCATTTTGTTGGAGAACTGCTATTATATATGGTATGTAGTCATATTAGCATTGACACTTCTCATTTCCATGTGAATTATTTGGCCTTACTGTTCAGTCATGGTCATTTGACTATGAAACTTTGGCACAGTTGACCATGTTTAAATTTAGTGTTTAGGTTAATTTATTTTGATATGAATATTGCTACAAGGCAACTTTCTTTCAAGATTTTGTGAAATATAAAGATAACAAAGAATGACTTCCACATTTTCTCTCCTAATTTTCTGAACAAACCCAATGTTTTTGCTAAAGGGAAATAACTCACAATTTTAAACTGTGTTATGAGTATGTCTTGCAATTGTTGAAAAAGAATTCAGGTCTCAACAGTATGATTATTTCTCATAGTGACTTTATGATTTTTGTAAGGACTACTCATACTCAAGTATAGTGCAATATTTTGTTGCCATTAGTTGGTATGCCTTCTTTAAAGAAATCAGAAGTATACTATTAAACCATAGAATACAAAAAATGAATGTGTTTTAAATGAATGAACATTTTGAATACAATTATATTCTGAAAACCAATCATTTGTATTTGTAAGAATGATTTTTAAGTACTTCTGTATATGTTTAAATCGATTTTGTCAATGCCAAATGATATAAACAACATTTCAAATTACTGACGTAGTTAATTTTTATGTTAATGGTGCTTGATGGATTTCAGGATGCTTCCTTTTTCAACTGTTTTCGGTGTTCCTCAGTTGGCAATAATTAATTCTACATGCACACAAACATAAAAGTATAAGAATATATAAAAAAAAAAATGTGGTATTATTGCCAATGAGACAACTCTCCACAAGAGACCAAATGACATAGAAGTTAACAGCCATAGTTCACTGTACGGTCTTCAACAATGACCAAAACCCATACCACATAGTCAGCTATGAAAGGCCCCGAAATGACAAATGTAAAACAATTCAAACGAGAAAACTAATGGACTGATTTATGTACAAAATAATGAATGAAAAACAAATATGATATACAGCAACAAACGACAACCACTGAATTACAGGCTCCTGACTTGGGAAAGGCACATACAGAATGTGGCGGGGCTAAACTAGTTTGAAGGCACCAACCACTGTCCTATCCTGGGACAGTGGTGTGACAGTACAACATAAGAACAAAAAATAAAAATCAGTTGAAAAGGTTTAACTCATCAGATCGATAAAAAGCAAAAATACATCTAACGAAAAAAACAGACTAGACATGGCAGTACTTATAATTCCTAACAACAAAAAGACACTAAGTACAGATCTGAGAGTACTCACACTTACTGACATCTAGTTCAAAGCCAATAACAACAAATAAAAAAATCATGCATCTAAGACTAAAATATCAATCAGTACACATCCAACATCTAATGGATTTAATGTAAAGACGTCATTAATAGTCAGAGAAAAACATGACCTTGTGCAATGCCAATATCCAGGTATCGACAGATTGTAGAGCCATGGATGTGCATATGTATATAAAAACGAAAATGGCACTGTCTTACGGCAATATTTTCATGGGCAAATTAGAGAAACAAATCATTTCAACATCTTTAACCAAACCTCTGTCTTGGTTCCGTTTCATCGATGATGTTGACATGAAATGGATTGAATCCCAACTTAATCTAGATGATTTCATCAGACATGCAAACAACGCCCACCAGTCAATTAAATTTACATATGAAATTTCGGACTCTATAATATCTTTCTTAGACACAACTACATCTATAAAGGACGGTGTCATATCAACAGACCTCTACTGTAAACTTACAGATAAACATCAGTACCTTTCTTTCCAAAGCTGTCACCCCAAACACTGTACAAAAAGTATCCCCTATAGTCAAGCTCTCAGAGTTAAGCGAATTTGCTCCTCTGAGGAGGCTGTCACTAAACGGTTACAGGAACTCCGCGGATTTTTGACCAAACGAGGTTATAAGAAATGGGACATAGATAAGGGATTTGCACGTGCTAACAATAACAGCCGCAATGACCTATTACAATACAAACAGAAGAGGCGCAGCAAAATAGTTCCATTTGTTTTAACATACAATCCCGCCTTCACGTTTGATCCATGCCAATTGGCAAACTATTGCCAAGCACCTTATGTTATCCAAGATTTTTCCCAAACCTCCTGTCTTAGCTTTTCGGAGACCAGCATGTCTGAAAGACTTATTTGTGAGAGCTGATGTCTCCTCTAATAAAAGCTGTTCAACTGCAAGATGGTGCAAATCGTGCGGTAACAGACAATGTCTGACTTGCCAACAAATACTGAATGTTGTATACCTTCTTCAGTGTCGATGTGGCATGCAGTATGTTGGCGAGACAGAACAGCCATTCAACAAACGCATGAATGGTCATCGAAGTGACTACACCTACAAGCCCGACCTCCCCGTAAGTCGTCATTTGAGATCACCTGGTTACGCCCAAGCTGATCTCAAAAACCTGACCATCACTATCATAGACCACAACGAGGGCTGGTCAAGGGCCGACAGACTTGCTCGGGAAAGGCTTGAGATAAGAAAGCTTAGGACAGTTTCCCCAGAGGGCATAAATGAAAAAACATAGAATGTGTCACTCATTTTCCTTACCATCACTTGTTTACAGTAACTCAGGCTTCCATTTTGGACTCTTACAGTTTAAAGAAATTTATTCCTCCTCCCAAACATCAATATTGAAAAAAAATTACCAGCATATTGATTATTGATGATTTGTATAGCATTCAAGATTTTTATTTCAGTTTGACTACCACATGTCAAGATAAGATTCAATTTACATCTTACTGATGAAGGATATTAGTTATCCGAAATATCTAAAATTTGTTCATGATTTAATTATTTTTTTGGTGATGTACCCTTTTAGACTTGTTATATATTATATTTTGTAGTGTACTGTATCATAATTTTATGATCCATCGCCCCGTAAGATTTATCGTTGGCTTTTATTCAGTCATTGTATATAAAAATAATACTTAGTTTGGTTTTAATTTACTGATATCAAAATCCATATTAATACCAATAAAAACAACATTCAAAGATCTAATTACAGTGTTGAATTGGTAACCTTTTAGAATAAATTACTATTATACTAACGTTAGTATAATAGTCCCAGACATTTTTAATACAAATTATTTCTAGAATTGTACTTATCATGAGGAACATTGCAGCTGCTACTTATGGAATCTGAACTGCTTACCTTTGTGCAAATGAGTTCTGTTAAGGTTTTTGGGGAAACATGGCTTTCAAGTCATTTTATACCTATACTATTGACCAAAGGTTATTTTCTACGTTCCAAGACTCTCAAGTCAACCATAATGATTTTGGAATGATACAAAAGAAAAGATTTTCTTTAAACAACTATCTGGTATGTTTTTTTTCCTCAAAATCCTCATTAGTTTATATCTCCCTTTTTTGTTTGCGTTTATAAGCATCTTTTATGGTCACAATAACGAATTGATTGACCACATATCTCCATTTATTGAAAAAAGTACCACGATCTTTATTATACAGGAGTTTCTTGGAAAGAATGAAAAGAAGCTAGCATTATTCTTTTACTTTACTTTCCGCTATATAGATGATGTCCTCTCACTGAATAATTCAAAGTTTGGTGACTATGTTGAACGCATCTATACTCATATCTTGACTTACATCTAGAAATTGACAACGAGGGTCGACTCAGAACAAAACTTTACGGCAAAAGATATTATTTCAGCTTCCCTATTGTAAATTTTCCATTTATATGTAGCAGCATTCTAGCAGCGCCTGCATATGGAGCATATATCTCCCAGTTGACAAGATATTCCAGGATTTGCGTTTCCTATCATTATTTCATTGATAGTTGGTTGCTGCTCATAAGGAAGCTATTTAACCATGAGTTCCAAGTGTTGAAGTTGAAATCGTCCCTTTGACAAATTTACGGACGCCATCACGAGTTGTTTGAAAATTATGGAATATCTGTTTCACAAATGACGACGGATATGTTCCAATCGTAATCAAAATCCCGTCCTCCTTTTTTCCTAATGTGACCTACCAAATAAGACTTATATGAGCAACACGATGGGTGCCACATGTGTAGCAGGATCTGCTTACCCTTCCTGAGCACATGAGATCATTATCGGTTTTTGGTGGGGTTCGTTTTGTTCAGTCTTTAGTTTTCTATGTTGTGTTTTGTTTACTGTTGTTAGTTTGTTGGTCTTTTTCTTCTTTTGCCATGTCGTTGTCAGTTTATATTCGACTTATGAGTTGTTTGAATATTCCTTTGGTATCTTTCGCCTCTCTTATCAAATGTGTCCACCAGAAGAGGATTATCAATGGCAAAGTCGAACACGATGTTCAAGCACCTTGGTCTGGAATAAATATGTGAATAATACAAATTAACTCGAGACTACCCATGCTGTATACTTAAGTAGAACAGCCATACCAAATGTTATCACCTTTGTTTACAATGTGCAGCACAAGTTCTACAAACTAACTTGAAATCGTTCCCTTTTAGGATGAGTATATTACAATAACCTGATGTCATCCCTTTTGTAAACAGATGAAGAACACAACGACTCGGGGTCTTTCCCTTATCGATAACAGGTATAGGATGTTATCCTTTATGTTTAGCATGTGCAAGACGATTTCAGCAAAACAGCCTGAGATTACTCCCCTTGTTTGGAATGAAATAACACATGAGGTCATCTTTCTTAGCTAGGAAACAAAACCCGTTGTACATTAATGTTTTACACAATGAGCCTAGGTATAACCCCTTTTGCATGTGATGAGTTGAACAGCATGATATCAAGTCATTCCCATTTGTAAAGGATATCTTCATTTAGACAAGAGTAGTTTGCCGGTGTTCAAAACTCATACATCTATTAAGAAAAAAACAAATTTAGGTAACAAACACACGATTAGGGATTCGCATGAACTCTTAGAGGAACAATAACGGGTGCGTCGACAGGGTGAACGCAATCAACCTTTACATATTAATGTATAACACAATGACCTGAGGTAATCCCTTTTGAAAATGAAAATTATAACACAATGACTCGATCTGGAGCATCCTCTTTTGTTACGTGTGAGAAAAGGATTAAGAGTGCATGTAAAGAAAACGTAATGTTAATTTTGGCAAACAGCTGTCATATTTCTGACTTACATGAATATTTAAATTATTTTGTCATAGCATGACTATGCTCCTCTTCCTATCTAGGCGCAATAAAGATTTATTAACTTACAAGGGTTTATATTCGTTATAGAGCAAGTATTAAAGGGCATTAGCTACGAGATATAAAAAAATAAAATAGGATTTTTTTTTCGTTCAATCATTAATGAAAGTGAAATAGTGAAATTATAATTCGTTTTTAACAGCCAGTTTGGTTCAATTTTGTCGAAATAAGCTAAGAAACATCTTTGATGAATTATTCACTTGCAAGTGAATAATTCGACCTCATTGTTTCCGTATTCATGTGACCTTCAATTTTACCCTTTACCTAGAGATTGGTTAACGCATGTAAAAGGCGTGTTCATGCAGCCATTAAAAGGAAAAGAATGTCAACATTGAAAGTGAAACAAAGGTGATCCATTTCGTTGACTGATTTGATCCACAAAAAAACATTCTTAATAATATGCAGGTAAAAACGATGACTAACTTATTTTTTTAACCTTTAACATGAAATCAAACAGACCTAGAAAAATCCAATTGCGCATGGTCGCAATCTATCTATATTTATGTTTATGTTTATATCGGGTTATGTACCGTCGGTAGTCGTCGGAGGTCGATGGTTAATTATATGGCGTCTAGACTAGAATACACACGATATTTATTATCAACTCCATGCATTGTTATTGTTTATTTCAGACTTGTTGTAATTTGGATATAAGTTTTAGTATGTTATAAATCAAATATGAGAATTTGATTCAAATCGTCGAACATGAATTTGACAGCTAATGGCCATTTAATTATTGTTTATATAGGGGTCCACGATATTCATCTAAATTTAGCTTAATTTACAGTATCTAAACCAAATATGTAACCTACATTTCATTTCATTCCACGCTATGATGGTTGAGCATGGCTATCTATATCTTCTAGAACAACAACAAAATAGAAAAAAAAATATGGGGTATCCATCCATGACACAAAATCAGTAAATGCACAAAAATGACGGACTCAGTGTACCGCTTTGTAGAATGTAAGGTTACTGATGAATGACATGTAATCAGTGTGAATTTCTGTTAAATATTGCACAATGTCAAGCAGTATGGTTAATCTCTTCGTGTCTTGTTACAGGTTTGTTAGTTACATCAGTGTTAGAGTTATCCTATTTACAGGTACCTGCAAAAGATTGCAAAATCTAAATAATTTAAGATCACTTTAATCGAAATAAACTGAATGCGTACAAATTATTTAAGCGATAAATTGTGCTAGAAGTGAATAATAATTTATGCTGTCCATGGCTGTCAACATAAGTCATAAAGCTTAATAGTCTATTATAGACGAAAATTTTATGCAGAGCAGTACAGCAATTGACATTATATTAAAATCAATATGTCCTACGTGTAAAAGACACAAATCATAACTTTTTTTATAAGTTATCAACTCCCAGAGAAATAGGTTTTTATAACGGTACCCAGTTTTATATGATATAAGGTTGTCGTTATAAATATACAAGTGAATAACGAGTAACATATATAGTGCACTTATTGTACTTCTTTAAAGCTTTTTGTCCATGATGATATATATATCACAAAATAAAGCAAAATTAAGGACATCAACAATATATAAATCTTTGGTTCCTAAAAAGAACTAAATGAGATTAAGGTCTTTCAACGTTTCATTCGTTGAGAATGTCTGTATTATATAAAGGAACATCGAACACAACCAATCATATTACACTGGTCGCTTAAGAATCTCGTACCACGAATACGTAAATACATAAAACGATTTCAAAAGTAATTTGAATTGTAACTTAAAGTAACAAATCATCGATGATCAAATCCGAGTAGTTATAAATCAGTAAATCCAATGCCTAAATGTAACAAAGGAATCAAATGGAACTCAAATTCAGTAAAAGTTTGATCATCAATTCAAAATGTTGGAGAAGTTGGGAAGAATCGTGAATGCTTACAAATTACTTAGCGATGAAAGGTTTTTATAGCAATGAATGTATTCGATATCCAGAAGTACATTGATAGATAGAGTACATTGGTTTAGAAACATTCGCTTAGTCTAATTATCAACGGTGGGACTGACAAATAATCCCGAAATTTACATTAGTCACTATCGTAAAAATATTGTTTAAAATATTTTTGTCTGGCTAAATGTTGTTGACAGGGGTAGATACCCCATTTTGTATAATGGTCATCTCTTTCTTCATATTGCCGGTGCATAATCTCACATCTCATGCATTTACAATTGTCTCGCCACTTTTTCCTTCGACTGCGACGTCCAATACGGTCATTTTCTAATCTACAACGTGTCTGTCGAGAATTGTGACCCGAAAGTGTTTCATTTTCTAAAATTGTTCCAATTGTATTTTTTGAGAATCGTTGTGTAACATCTCCAGAAGAAGGGAATTCCCCAGTAATGTCAAATTGATAAATACCAGATTGTTCTAATGGCTGACCTTCTTTGTCCTCATTTTCTGCTTTGTCTGGGTTCCGATTTATAAGTGTTTTCTTTTGAGTTATTCGTTCATATCTGTGCTTTGATGAATTATTGCTTGGTTTGTTAACTTCGTTATCAACATCAGCCACGTTAGGTAATGACTTTGACAATGTACCATTCAGTAATTTGGTGTCAGATAAAATACTTTCTGTTTCCTGCAATGATATGCTATGCGTTAAGTCTTGTATTTATGTATACATTAATTTTGTTCACCTAAGGTTTATTTTCAATTTTTAATAGATAATCATGTTTCGATATACGGCATACATATATCAAAAGTAAATAAATTTCTAACTGAAACGGCCATTTTGATCTAAACCGATCTTAAAAGTATAATTCTTATGTCATGTTCAAACTTTCTGTCAATTTCATAAATATCAGCTGCGGCAAATTCAGTACTGGTCAGACACATCGCCTGTAATTAGTCTAGTTTTTGGCGGTTCGCAATTGCTGCTATTTACCTGTCTAATTCAGGCAGCAGTAGTTTACCTATGCTCAAACCTCATAAATCTATTCAGAGGACATCAAGTTAACAAACAAAAGTTGAGGGAGCAGCAAAAACAATAAATATTAATAATCCGACTGAAAACAGCTTACCAGTACTGGATTGACTACAAACAAAATGTCTGTTGAGTATCGAATTTACCGTAAGGATTGTATTACCTGTAATATAACTTATTATACCCTTTAACAAGACTGGACATTTTTGGGTTCAGATATTTGGGAAGAAATTGTTCGTTTATGATTAAAATTCGTTAACTAATACAATAATCGAAAAACCGATCGGATGGGGCATTCGCACTAAATAATCGATAGTTAGATAAATTAACGTTGTAAATAAATGCGCAGGAAAGCGCTCCTATAATGAATGGGTATATCGCACCTACAATGAATGGAAATTACCAAATGCAATTTTACTTTATTCAAATCAAAACAATGATGTAAGATTTGTTATTAATTTGTATAATCAGTTAACATCAAAACATCATGTTTAATTCGTACTCTTTGCACATTAAAATGTATTGTTGCTCTGGAAATAAATTTTGGTAATTGACAGTCATAATAATAAGTGATTAATCATAGACTACTTTAGAGCAATATCGTAGTAATTTACAATTGCCTTAATCTATTTTCCAAAGATTAAAACCAACTTACGATTTGGGAAATGAAAAAAACGGGATTTAAAAAGGCTTAAAATTAGAGGAAAATGCTCAGCCGCAAAGTTGTACATTTTGCTTCTCCAAACAAACAGGAAATTTGAAAATTAAAACTCTGTTCAAATTAACACTCAAATAACAATAACATTAAGCGTGAAGAAATGATTAAATCCATTCATCAGTAAAAGAGATGCGAAGGATACTAAAAGGACATTCATTCTCATAAGTCGAAAATAAACGTACATTTCCATGGCTAAAAAAGAAAAGACAAACAGACAAACAACAGTTCACAAAACACAACACAGAAAACCAAAGACTGAGCAACACGAACCCCACAAATGCAATTCTATTCCAGGTTTCAATATGTATACAGAAAAGACAATATACTTTGGGCAAATTGAAATGAAGATAACATTTCTGTAAAAAGACTATTTGAAAATAAAGATACCTAGAATTTTCATTTAAGTAATATCATTGTTTCACTACATTGTAAATGTACACAACAAAATATTGATAAAAAATTATTTTGATGAATATATAAGAGGAAAACAAAGATGCTCAGCATAAAGTATATTGACAAATCAGAAATGTAGGAATCAGAAAGAGTCAAATGCTGGATTATAAAAAGCAGATTAGGAAAGTCAGCAAAAGATAACGAAAATAATGTGTCTCTTGCTTAAGGATATATGAGAGTAAACTATACTACATAGAAAATTTCAAAAGGCAAATCATCATGAGAGATAAAACAACTAATTACTATAGGGTCCCATTGATTTACTTTTGTTAATTCTTATTTAATTTCTTTTTTCGTCGTGTGAGGAAAATAATCATTTTTAGTTGCAAAAACAAATTAAGAAAAAAGAATTATGACTGAAGCTACATAATCATGTCGAATTAGTCATTCAATTATGTTAATTTTTCTCCTTAAAAAAATGATCATGTGGAGCAAAAAGACAAAAAAAATATATATTACTTTGGATCATAAGTGACACATTGTTTTAACAAAATTTGAATATAGAATAAAATTATTTTTGTTACATAACTATATATGTAGTCTTCAACTTGAAATGCTAGTTGGTTTATATTATGCTAAAAAATACCATTGTACTTTCTATTCTAATACAATAGTTGATGTTTCTTATTCGGCAGATTATCATAGCCCAACCTTGTATAAAGCCTACACCATATGCTACCTACAAGTATAAATATTGACCAATTGCACATTTTACCCCTGTTTTATTCTCAAAAAGAATTATGATTAGATGCAAAAGAAATTTAAAAATTTATATTCATTTTGTACAATATCAAAGCAATTTTTGTTTACTATAATCTCTCAAATATTTCCCTACTGTAAAACAGCGAAAACGATATATATGCATTAAGCCAATATTTCATACAAATCGAGTAAAACGTATACCGATTTTCCAACTGGACTATACCGCCATCTCGTATAATGTATCAGCACCTATATAATAAATCATTTAACAAAATCAACTTTTTTGTAAAATTTAGATTGAATTGACAAGGTGTCGACACAATCGTAAATAAGGTCACTGATGTAATGTAATGAAAATTGTAATCATATTAAATTATTAAAACTCGTATTTCGAATTATCAAAATAGAAACAATAAACAAACAAAATGGAGTTCTGAAAATAATTAAATCAGCTCAATATCCCAGCTATTCTATACAATAGAAGGATTAGTGCTTATAAAAATAACTAGATTATGATTTAATCTCCACTCAAATAATACCATTTCCATATAGACCATTAAATATTATTGACTTCATCCTAGTTCTTATCTTTCTTCTTTTAAAATACATTAAGCTTTTCATTGAACAAATGTCATAATTAATCGTATGTTAAGTTGGTATCATTTTGTTTTCAATAGTAAACTGGTTATTTCCGAATGCAGTTGTACATATTTCGATGCATTTGTAATCACTTCTTAGAGATCTTTTTCTGACAAATATTTATAGAAGATAATGAAGTGTTCAATACCTGTACTCCGACTTTCTTAGATCCTGTTTCTTTGTTACTTTTTGTAGTATATATTGAACCATTTGCTATGCTGCCATTAGATATGTAAGGAAGTTTCATACTCTCCAGTGTCAATGATCTTGTTATACCAAGATGAGCTTTGGTGTTCTGTCTCTGTAAATAAATGTTCACAAATAAGACTGATGTATTATATGTAAGAAAAAGAAATGCTTCGTCAGTACAGCACTAATTTTCAATTGATGTATACTACCTGACCAAGTTAAAGACTATCCTATCGAAAATTTAAGGAGCAGGAGAAAGCCTATACAGAAGAAAAGCATAGGATAGACCTAAATAGAGAAGGTGTATTCATCCTTGACTATCAAGGAGAGAGGCGGAAGATACCAAAGGAATATTCAAATTCATAAGTCGAAAACAAACTGACAACGCCATGGTAAAAAAAAAATAACCAAGAGACAAACAGCGGTCATTCCACTAAACACAATAGAGAAAACTAAAGACTGAGAAACACGAACCCCAGGTTTGGTCGTTCAGAATTCAGAAAAGCGCTTCGGACGGACGAACTTAACAAAGTGTTATTTCAATTTAACAGCAATAGGTCGATACAATTGATACTGCTAGTCCCGACGGTATCATCAGTTCAGTAATCAGTGCTTCGGCACGGATATGATTTTGAATAATTTTTATTTATATTCTCCGCGGATAAATTAAGAACTCATTACAAAAACTAAGGTTCCAACCCCTAAAAAACACAAAATTGGTATTAGACGCATTAACTTATTTAGGTCTTATGGATCCTTGGCTTTCACATGTTTGTGTTTGGGCGTTCCTGGTGCAGATAAATCCACAGAAGCGATTCGGACGGACGAAATTCATAAAGTATTATTTTCGGTCAGAGAATGTTGATATATATTGTAAATTGAGCAAGTTACTTGAGGTAAATTTTGATATATTCTGTAGTATCTATAAAGCATGCTATATTTAAAAAAAAAAATTGACGCTTGCTGTAAATCGAGCAGGCCCTCTTCAGAATATGTGTTGAATTTATTCATTGTCACAGCATTTATCAGTCTTGAAGATAAATGAAGTGGTAGTTATGGTGACAATGTAGGTATTGACTGTTTGTTTAGAATAAGGACATCACTTGTTCCAGTAATATTCAAATTATTTTTTTTAATATAAATTATTCATAGTATTTCATGTAACCTGCCATGCGTATATTTTCCTTGTTACCATAATGTAACACACCAAATGCTTTCTTAACATAACAAATGTGCATTATATATATATCAAACAAACCAATATACAGTTGTACGTTAATGTTTTGAAATTTAAAAATTTTTAAATAAGCAATTTACAAAAGAATCATTGAATTTTTATAATTTTGATTGTATTAGAAAGAAACAAAAACTCGGTCAGAAAATTATCTGACGCGTCGAATCTTATGGATATTTTCTCATTTTTAAAATAAGAGCTGAATGCATATAATCAAAATAAACCGCAAATGAGGATTGTTGTTTGCTCAATAATTCGAAATACCTACGTGTAGATTAGCAGCAATTTGTGTATTGAAGTCTAGTTTAGGAAGATTCCTGTTTCTGTCTCGTAAAGCTTTCCATCTTTGAACATAAGATCCTCTTTCTGTTAATCTCGGATGTACATATGCTAATGGCGAATGAAGACGCACTGGAGATTCCGGTGAGCTCATTACCCCTGATGGCATTATTTTAAGATTTTATGGAAAAAAAGTTTTCTGATATCACTGCACTTATTATTTGTCCATGCGAGTTTTCAAACATGATATATTTCTCCATCGGGCTTCATTTTCTTTTCAGGTTTAAAGTAAATGTGTTTACATATGATTAATGCATTGATATAACTAATGTCATCAATATTCACCTCACAAAGTAGATATAGGAATATTTTCAAAACAGATTTAACGGGATTTTAATCCTTCACCACGATTATAGTCTACTTCATTTACTATCTAATGTAAACAAACAGAATGAACGAATGTATCTACATAAGTGTAAAACAAACACTGAAAGGAAAATCTGTAAATCTTCACTGTATGTATATCCACATTTTCAATGATAAATTTCCGACCTACAGAATGTTTTTACAAGATTGATCGTTTTGGAGATCGATTCACATAAAATACTTTGATCTCGTTTTGATAAATCCTTGATTATAATAGTTGTAACGATTTGAATTGTTCCTTAATTGAATACATTTTATATTCCATGTTGAAAAGGAATTTAAAAACGAGGGCAATAATGGGTACAGTCTTTAAGTCTAAAAACCTTACAAAAGCTATTAATATATAATCTTTTAAACTACAGTATTAGTAATGAATGTTTTGGTATTACTGTACTCTTTAAAACCTCCCGAAAGGTAAATAGAAACGATTTTTACCTCTCTATCCTATTCTTGCATTATAGAGTATAGCTTTGTTATGTCATACTCTTATACATTAAAGGATAATACAACATAAGGACGATTGATTTAAATCAATAATTTACTGACAGAACATGAAGTTTTTTTTTCGTTTCGTCTACTTATAACAACTTATCTTCGTTTTGCCTAACGATTAATAAAAACGGTTTAAGATCCTTTTAAACTTTCTGCTATATATATAATTCTAACATGATGGTATGTCTTTACAATTTCTCATTCATATTGATGTCAGTGTAAAAATTCGTTTATTTGCTATTATCTACAATGGCCCGGGATGTTGATTGATAAGAGAGAGGCGAAGGATACCAGAGGGATATTCAAAGTCGAAAATAAACAGACAAAGCCATGGCTAAATAAAGGCAACAGTAGTATACCGCTGTTCAAAAGTCATAAATCGATTGAGAGAAAACAAATCCGGTTTACAAACTAAAACCGAGGGAAACTTATAAGAGGAAAGCAATGGAACAACAGAAACACTGAAGTGCAACAAAAACAAACGCCAACATACATAGAAACGAACTATTTTATAAGATGTGCCATATTCCTGACTTGGTACATGACATTTTACGAAAAAATGGTTGGTTGAACCTGGTTTTAAAAAAGAAAAACACCAACAGACAAACAACAGTACACAAAACACAACTAAAAATACTGAGCAACACGAATCCCACCAAAACCTTGGGGTGATCTCAGGTACTCAGGAAGGGAAAGCAGATCCTTCTCCACATGTGGCACCCATCGTGTTGCTCGTGTTCGAACAAATCCGGTAATAAGTTTAATTCGGTAGTTCATATTCGGGAAAAGGGGACGGGATTGAAGTTACGACATTAGGAACATATCCTCTATCCTCTGTGAAACGGATATGCCATAACGGTCAATCAACTCGTGATGGCGTCCGTAAAACTTACGAACGGATGATTTCAACTTCACTACTTGGAACTCTTGGTTTAATAGTTTCCTTGTGAGCAGCAACCCTCTATCAATGAAATCATGATAGGAAATACAAGCCCTGGAATATCGTATCAACTGGGAGATATATACTCCGTATGCAGGCGCTGCCGGAATGTTGCTACATAGAAATGGAAAGTTCACAATTGGGAAGCTGAAATCATCTCTTTTGTCGTAAATTTTTGTTTTCAATCGACCCTCGTTGTCAATTTCTAGATGTAAGTCAAACTTAACTATATCTGTTGTATCCTTTATCTCAAGTTCGATGGGATAGATGCGTTCAACATATAGTCACCAAATTTTGAATTATTTAGTGAGAGAACATCATCTATATAGCGGAAAGTAAAGTTAAAGGATACTGCTAACTTCTTTTTCTTTCTTCCTAAGAAATTCCTGTATGAAGTCAGCCTCATGTGAATAAAGGAACAAGTCGCAAGAAGAAGGGCACAGTTTGTTCCCATGGGAATCCCGATTGTTTGTTGAAAAACACGTCCTCTAAACGAAACAAATTTGTTTTCAATCAAGAAATCAACCATCTTGATAATGTCAATTACAGAGAATTTTTTGTTTGAATCAGATTGATTTTATACAAAGTAGGATTTATCCCTCCCTAAGACAAGATACTTGTATCTACGTTGGCCATTCTTTTTTACAAAAACAAAGCAGGACCAACTCTTTCAATTTGTCTTGATTTGAATAAAGCCAAATAGTGCTCTGTATGGACTAACTTATATTACTCTGCTCTCTGTTTACAAATATAAAAATAAGAAGATGTGTGATATGATTATCAATGAGACAATGATAGAAATGCACCTTTAAGCCAATCATCTTTTTCTTTTCTATTTATAAATAAATCAACAATGGTAAATGTTCCTCAACTTCGGTCGGTATTGCTGCAGGTTGGCTATCAGTTCACAATGTCGGTATCGTAACAGGCAAACTATCAGTCCCCAAGGTCGATATCACTGCAGGTTTACTATCAGTCCTCAAGGTCGGTACCGTTGTAAGCAAACTGTCCGTCCCCAAGGGTACCATCCGCCCAGTAGTGACTGATTTAATTATATATAAATTTAGACTTAATTGAAATTCCCCGATTCTCCGGGTTCATCTCACGCCGAGATAAAAAGAAAAGTTTTACAAAATAATATACACTACTTACAGGTAATGAAGAAGAGTCAATCCATTAATTCGTGCAAAAAACATCCGAATTGTACCAAATAATTGAAATTAGCAATTCAAAATAGAATCAGATTAATTTATGATGCATATATTATAAATAAATTTGTGTGAGTGTCACATACACCTAGTGAAACCCCTAGGATCAGCCACTAATAGGCTTTTAGTTTGTTCTAGTATACATTGGAGCTGGTCATGTTTTCCTTAATTCATAAACTTGTTGGCTTTATAAACAATATGACCGTAAAAGGATGGAATTTTTTTTGTGTTATGTTTATTTCATGTGTTTAGGTTTATGTATGTCACTCTATGTGTGTGTACTTCTAAGAAATTATACCAGCTTTTCAAAATTTTGGCTTGGAGTTTTCTGCAACTATCAGTAAATTAGCATATAAAATTGTTCATAAGGGCATGATGCTTGCCATCTTTCTTGTTTGCATGGTGAAACTACTTGGAAAGTGTGTTATCTTTCAACCTTCAGAGGAAATTTAAAACTATTCTCCGATAAAATAAAAAAAACAACAAACAAACAAAGAAGATAAATATACTGATATCCTCATGAATATCAAAGTGTAATCAAACGACATAATGCAAGCATGTGGTAAAACTGTAAAACTCATTATGTTCAGACTACTGGCATAACAATGTTTAAAAGAGTATAGTCTTACCTTCAAAGTGAGTAAAGACGTCCATCGTAGGCTCTGGGCTCTTCTATACTTGTTTGCTTGATCCTTCCCTCCAACTACTATAGGGAGTCCTGATGACATGTTGTTATATTATTAAATGTCTTACAGATGCAATTTTTGTAAATTTGTCATTAAATAAACATCTACGTGGTCTATTCTATGTTCGGAAACACATCCGTGAGAGACATGTACATATATGAGAATTCCATCTTGCCTAACCAATTATCAAAAAAGAAATAGTGACTTTTGTTATACTATATGCATGTTCTTAAACTATTATGTAAAGATCTTTTCTAGTATGTATTAACACACTTATAAGGTATTGAACATTTAAAATTAAACCAATTTTTTAATCTTCGTCTTAATACTTTTAATGTATCGTTATTCATGAATTGTGCTATCGATTGTGTATTTAAAAATCAAATGACCCTTATTTAAAAAGAATATTTGCAGTTAACATTAGAAACTACAACAGAGGAGCACCTCAATGAAAATAAAATTCACTCTTATTGGGTAAAGTTCTTTAAATAAAAGATCCACCATCATTATTAGAAATGATTTAATGCTGTTCAAAGTAATTAAAATCCCAAAATATCTTGTTGCTGACTTCTCCATAGACGAAAGGAGGTGGGTGTTAGTAATTATAGGTCACCGTACTATCTTCGACAATGAGAAAAACTCACTCCGTAGTGTAATCTGTGAAAGGCCTCTACATGCCAAAATGTGAAACAATTCAAACGAAAAACTAGCTGCCCGATTTATGTTAAACAATAAAAGAAAAACAAACAATGCATACTACAACCAACAGCAAACAGTCTCCTGAATTGTGACAGGCACATTCAGAATGTGGCGGGTTAAACATGTGTGTAAGCTTTCCACTCTCCCCTAACCTTAGGCAATGCTGTTACAGCACAACATAATAACAAACTGATATTTTTAAGATCGATCATCTTAAAAGATTTCATGAAAACGACCTTTGTGTAGTCTTCCGATTCCTTTTTGCACTACAAAGATTCAGAACAAATTTACCTATTTTCAGCCCCGTTCTGTTGACCTTTCAGATTTTTACTATTTCATCGACAACTTGCAGTATTGTTTCATCTATTTGTGGTATAATCATTACTGATACCTATTTTCAAAGTAACTTGACCATCAAATGTTACAATACATGTAGTCGTTAGGATCTGTATTGTAATGCTGCTAATATTGTGTACGATATTTTTCTGATCTAAGTCGGTGAAACAGGGCAAAGACTTAAACAAATAATGAATGATCAATGGTCTAATGTTAATGATCCTAAAAACAATACATTTCTCTATAAACACTTTCACCAGCCTGACCATTCTGTTTTTTCAATGAAATACTGTGAAACATTATTGAGAAAACATATCATTCAGCAAATGATACCATATTGAGTACACATATCGCTTACAAAGAAGACAATTTGGAACAGTTATCGCTTATGGATGCAACGATTAAATTGATTGTATGAGTATGTTGTCTAGTTCCAGGTGTAGAGATATCGACAAATCAAAATTATATAATTGTTGTCAATATAATGGAATTTTATGCAACTGTCATACAAGTGAGAGGTTTAGCTAGCTATAAACCAGGTTTAATATACCATTTTCTACATAAGAAAATGCCTGTACCAAGTCAGGAATACGACAGTTGTTTTCCATCCATTTGATGTGTGTGAGCTTTTGATTTTGCCATTTGATAAGGGTCTTTCCGTTTTGAATTTTCCTTGAAGTTCGGTATTTTTGTTATTTTACTTTATACTACTACCAATTTTCGACACATTAGGATTCACGTTCATGGAACTATACACCATATGTTGTTCACACCGTCTATAGATGGTTTGTTATCCTCTGTTCATAAACCTTTCAGAATTTACTATACTCCAACTAAACTCTTTTCCATACCTTTATCAAAGATCAATTCAATATTTCGAGAGGCTCAAACTCTACCGTTGTTGATAAAATGTCTGTTCA